CAGGACACCCACTGGGGGAAGGTCCGCTCCACTGTCCTGATCCCAAAGGAAAAATAACAACTTGGATGCTGAGTCAAGGCCACTCCCACTGGCAGGGGAAGGCAGGGCACACAGCACACCTGAGCTAAAATGGTAAATAACTAACAATAGGTAAAGATCTACCCTTAGCAAAGAGTTCCAAGGACCCAGCAGCTGCTGCCAGCTGGCCTGGACCATGCTAGAGCAGATCTGCATGGCTGTACAGACATGTGGGTTTGTATCCAATGCCCTGATCTCATTACAGTGGTGTGCATGTTACATGCCTACAATCTCATAGAAAAGTAATCCTAATACTATGTGTAGGACTGTTCAAACTACATTTTTTTTAAAAAAAAAAAAAAAAAAGCTTTTCAAAACATTTCAAAGGTAGCTGATGTGACGACCATCACTATGTCACTCATTGATCCAATAAACATAGAGAAAACACCTGCCACTTTGAATCACACTCTGTCAGAGATGCCAGAGATCTTGAGCGCAAACAAATGCATCCTCAAGAAGCTGGAGTCATTTGGAGATGATGAACACTCATTAAACTGTCAGCGCTTGAATACAGAGATGTAACTGTGAGGCCTGTGACAAAGAGACACGGGACAGAGAGGAAACAAAATGGTGCTGAACATAGATGGTAGCCCAGTGAAAGACTGCCTCCGGGGATGTCTAATAATCAAAAAAGGCCAGCAGCCAGGACGGCACTGCAAAACTTGCTACAGGTGAAGCACCACACTCCGACTTCACTCTCAGAGCAGAGAGCAGGAGGGATGCAGAGATGAGGCCGTGAGGTGCTGCCACAGTGAAGTGGTGGCCTCAGCGAGAGGCACGCAATCGGGAAACAGCGGCACGATCTGGATACAGAACAGCTGGAAGGTTAGTCTTGGGAATGCCTCCTAGCTCTGGCTGAATGGGGGCATCACACATACCCCGAAACAGGCCGGGATCAATGTCTGGGGACATGGGAATAGAGACTCTGGTTATAGTCTCAGCCTTAGAACAGCTGATGACAGACACAAGGCCAGCAGTAATCTGAGAGAGGACTGCCTGACTCCCAAGATGTGGGACTCGGATTTTTCATATGTCCAGGGCAAGGTAGACACAGAATGAGAAAAGGAGCCTCAACCCGGACCCTTCACTGAAGCCTAGAAAGAAGTTACCATAGACAAAAGGAAACTGGGGCGCTGGTTTGGCAAGGTGCTTGCTAGAAAAAGAGTATTGTGAGGGAAAAGAGTGGCTGGAGATACCAGGTGGAGGTGAAGGTCACCGTGTGAAGAGCTGCTAAGCATACGGAGTGTGGGAGTGAGTTCATGAGTAGGAACCATCAGCAGAAGCCAGATGAAGTGATGGGGAAAAGAAAAGAAGGCAAGAGAAGCCACTGCCAAGGAAAGCCAGCTGTGCACCTGCTGGAGCGGCAGGTGTTGCCCCTGGAGTCAGGCCAAAGCAGGGTCCATGCTCATCTGCAACAGGCGGGTTTGACACTTCAGAGAGGTGGGATCCCAAGGGCAGGAGAAGCTGGACATGGGGGTGGGGAATAAGGCACCTTATTGATCTAAAGCACCAGGTTCCTGGGAGGCTCTTAGGGGTCTGTGACCCTCTTTAAAACCTGGGGAAGACTCTGCCAGAGGACAGACACCTCCTCTGACATGGAAAAGTGTGCCGAGTGCAGATAAACGCTCATGAACTGACGTGATGGCTGCCTTTCTCAGAGCCATTTTATAATCTTGTTCTTTGTTAAAAACTAAACTGCAATTATTTCTCAAGTGTCAGTCATAACTTCCAGGGGAGCCAGAAGTGAACCCTAACTGACCATCGGGGCTCGGGTGCCTCTGCCTGGCTATGAGGAGGACTAGATACAGGTCTTTTAAGGGTCCCTCAGAAAACATCTCACTACTGAAATGAGGTAGCCTCTGTTCTCCTCGACAGCAGTCTTGCCTCAGTACACCCCACAGAACTGAGGAAAACCTGCTGAACCAGCAAGCCTGAGACTAAAGTCAGTGTGCTGAGGAGGGCGGGAGGGGTGAGAACAGGAATGTTCATCACACCTGATGAGCTGAACCTGCTGCGTCTAGAACTTCCATCTCATCATGCAGGCCTCTGCAGAATGTTAAAACACTCTGTATTTTAACCTGTTCATTAAAGCATATACCCACAGGGCCTTTCTTAGCTACCTCTGAGCTGCTCTACACACCTAGAAACCCCAAAGCCCGAAGGCTCCATTATTACATGTCGTCTAATTAGGCAATCCCCAGAGAACACGAGCCTGTGCTGACCTCCTGATGAGACCCATCATCTCAGCCTTCCTTGGTCAGCGACCTGTTCTTGACTGTCTGGGGGTGGCGGGGGGCGGGGGGGGGGGGATGTGATAAGCACAGGAGGTGCAATCAGGATGTGTTGTGTTGGTGTCTAAGCAAAGACTCGCCTTTTGCTGTGACTCTTTGAACTCCAGTAACATCAGTGCCCATCCCCCCACCACCTCTCTGATGGACAGTCACCCTCACAACAGTACTGGGAGGTGATGAGTGTCCCAGCACGAGCTGCTACTGTGTTGGACCAATTTCACCGTCTCCCTCTTACCCTCACCTTCCATCATGACAAAGCAAGAAGTCTCTCACTAATGTCTCTCAATGCTGGACTTTCAACCTCCAGAAATAGGAGCTAACACGCCTCCACTAATTACAAATGCCCTGGGCTCAGGTGTGCACATATCAAGATGTCAGGTTCAGTCCTTCACGTTTTCCGTAAGTCCATCCTTCCCAGGCCTCACTGGAGGACTTCCTCATCTGGGAATGGTACAAATTCCTGTCTTTTGAAATAGAACTTCCTATGTGCAGATTAAATTCAAAACCACTTCTCCAAAGAAAGAATCAAAGGGCCATGTCCTGGGCTAACCAGAGCCTGCAACTGCAGAAACCTGTCTACCCTTAAACATATTTACACAAACAAATATAATTGTATCCATGGAAGATGCCATTATTCATCACTTGACATCTGTGCTGGATAGTTTTGTGTCAACTTGACACAAGTTATCTGAAAGGGGTGAACCTCAATTGAGAAAAAGGCCTCCATAAGATCCAGCTGTAAGGTATTTTCTTAATGAGTGATTGATGGGGGAGAGTCCAGCCCATTGTGGGTGGGGCCATCCCTGGGCTGGTGGTCCTGGGTTCTATAAGAAAGCAGGCTGAGCAAGCCATGGGGAGCAAGCCAGTAAGCAGCACCCCTCCATGGCCTCTGCATCAGCTCCTGCCTCCAGGTTCCTGCCCTGTTTAGATTTCTATTCTGTCTTCCTTCAATTGACTAAAATGCAGAAATGTAAGCCAAATAAACACTTTCCTCTACAACTTGCTTTTGGTCATGGTGTTTCATTGCAGCAATAGAAACCCTAAGACAACATCTTTAAATGAGACAAAATTTCAACAATGGTGTTTAAATATGATTGCCAAAGCACTCATCTCCTGATGGCAGATAAGATGTGACAGCCACTTCAAGATCCATCATTATGCTTCCCAGCCAAGACTGTTTGATTAAATTGTCTCTGTTGCCTATTTAGCCACAGCTGTGAGAGAAATAACTAATACAGAAAATTAGTGCCAAGGAGCCGGGCTGTTGCTGTGGTAAACCTTACCACATGGTTCATAGGCCTCTGCAACTGATGTTGGAGGGGGAAGAAGCCACAGGCTAGAGAAGCCCTAGAATGCTGTAAGCAGAGCTTAATGGGACATTCTGACAGGAGTTTGGAAAACCAGAGCACCAGAACTCATACAACGGAAGCCTTTCTAATGAGGTTTCAGACTAGAACAAAGACCATGCGGGCAGTGGTTCTCAACCCTCCCAATACTGTGACCCTTTAATATAGTTCCTCACGTTGTGATGACCCCCAACTTTTTTGTTGTTGTTTGTTTTTTGTTTTTTGGTTTTTTTTTTTTTTTTTTTTTTTTTTTTTTGGTTTTTTTCAAGACAGGGTTTCTCTGTGCTGTTTTGGTACCTGTCCTGGATCTCACTCTGTAGACCAGGCTGGCCTCGAACTCACAGAGACTACCTGGCTCTGCCTCCCGAGTGCTGGGATTAAAGGCGTGTGCCACCACTGCCCGGCAACCCCCAACTTTTTTTGTTGCTACTCCATAACTGAAATTTTGCTACTGTTATGAATCATAATGTAAATATCTGATATGCAGAATATGTGATATGCAACCCCTGTGAAAGGGTCATTCAATCCTCAAAGGAGTCAAGAACCATAGATTGGAAACCACTGTCCTGCAGACAATGGGACTACAAGCTGTTCAGGTTACAGAATCCGGCTGCTTTCTGACTGTGTGTTAATTTTTTTTTTTTTTTTTGGGTTTTTCAAGCTAGGGTTTCTCTGTGTAGTTTTGGTGCCTTTCCTGGAACTCACTTGGTAGCCCAGGCTGGCCTCGAACTCACAGAGATCCGCCTGGCTCTGCCTCCCAAGATTAAAGGCATGCACCACCACCACTGACTGTGTGTTAAAATTTAAGCATGGCTGAAGTAAAAAGTAATGGACTAAGTTATTTGGTGATTTCAAATCAGAAGAACATGCCAGCTGTGGCATGGTTACTGCTCACTGCTCTTGGCAGTATAGCAAAAGGGAGCAGGGAGATATGAGAAGGCACAGCTTAGAGGGGAGGGAAGTGGAGGGGGTAGGAAACAGTGACAGTAATACCACACCTAGGGCACTACACCAGGCATCCAATGTGCATGGAGTCACCTCCATCTGTGGGGAAGCATATGGAGGATCCACCCCACTGCTTTATTCCACATTCCATTATCTCACAAATGAAGCTGAAAGGTAGTATGCATGCCAGGAGCCCTGATAGGCACTGGAGTGTCAATCCTGAGCAAAGCAGACTATTCCCCCCCAATCTGGGGCCTTCACAACTTAGACAAGGGCAGAGACGGTAACCAAACAGTGGCATACTGTTGCCACACAGGTGACAGTTGTCCAAATGGCCCCTTCAACAGAAGTGCTGGGGGAAGGAAGAACAGGTATGGACATGTCTGGCATGGGGACTCTTACGGATTAGTAAGTAGTTAACTGGTAGAGCATAGAACCTTCTAGAGGCCAGGGAGAACTTGAGGGTGAGGCTGTGGAAGGGGGTAGGAGAAGTAGGGGCTGACACAGCTGAGTGAAGATGGTCCCAGCCCTTGCGACCCACCTGGTCAACCGGCACCTCCACCTTCACCTCTGGGTCCTCCTTGACTTCCAGTGCTTCTTGGGCCTCCTTAGCGGGAGTCTGTGCTTTATACACATCACCTTCTAGGGGAAAATAACAGACAACTGTTGTGGAATATTATTTTAAGATGTGTTACATCTGTTTATGCTGTGGAACATTTGCTTAATGATGCAAAGATGTGTTGCATTCCTTTATGTTGCATTTGTTTAACTCTGTGAAGCTGTGTTACTGTGCCTGCCTAAAACACCTGATAGTCTAATAAAGAACTGAATGGCCAATAGCAAGGCAAGAGAAAGGATAGATGGGGCTGGCAGGCAAAGAGAATAAGTAGGAGAAATCTGACAAGATCAAGGAGCAAGAAGAGGAAGAGGACATCAGGGGCCAGCCACCCAGCGCACAGCCAGACACAGAATAAGAAGGAAAGAAAAGTATACAGAAAGAGAGAAAGATAAAAGCCCAGAGGCAAAAGATAGATGGGAGAATTTAAGTTAAGAAAAGTCAGCTAGAAATAAGCCAAGCTGAGGCTGGACACTTATAAGAAAGAATAAAGCTCCCTGTGTGTTTATTTGGGAGCTGGATGGCAGGCCCCCAAAAGAGCCAAAAAAAAAAAAAAAAAAAAAAACTACAATCTTTTCAAACCAGGAGAAAAACTGATCCGCAATTTACATTTTCTGAAACAAATCAAAGTTTCCACTCAGCAGCTCCTGAGCTTCCTATACCACCAGAGAAATGCCCAGATGGGGTCCCTGCATATCTGCATGTCCGTCTCTCCCCTCTCCCCCTTTGTTCTTGCTTCTATGAGGCCTCAGCTCAGTGCACCCCAATTTCTGCAGGGTCTGTCTAGTTTCCATCTCCACGAAGGTCCTGGACCCTTGAAATCTTGAGTATCTCTATGTCAAGAGGCTTTCTACACCGCCTAGATGTTGCAGAGCTGCAAAGCAGTGTGGGAGGGGATTCTCCCACCTGCTTCCTGTCTGTATAACAGTGTGGGAGGGGCTTCTCCCACCTGCTTCCTGTCTATATAACAGTGTGGGAGGGGCTTCTCACACCTGCTTCCTGTCTGTATAACAGTGTGGGAGGGGCTTCTCCCACCTGCTTCCTATCAGCGCCATAACCAGATGTTGCACCAAGTCCTTCCCCAGGTCTATCAGACTGGAAAGCGAGACACACCTCAGGAAGAGCATCATTAGACTGAAGCACCCAGCAGGCCAGAGAGGACAGAATAGCAGTAAGAATGAGAAAGGTATGACAGAGCTATTTTAATTGTTTCATTTTATGGTCATGTCTGGATCTCTCTTCTAAAGGTACACGGGAACAAGCTAGATGGTTTCTATGTTCAAGGTTCCCTCAAAAGTCGGGTTCATTTGATATTGGTCTTACAGCAAGGATATCATAGTCCTCGTATGCATGTGAACGTGGAATTTATTTTAAATATGACATTTTTAAGGCTTCCCGTTGCCCTCAGCTTAGGAATGTTACTGCTCTTGTCAGCAGCTTACTACTGCCCCACAAGCTGAACACTTGACAATCAAGTAGTTCTAAGAAAAGACCTTGCAGAATAAGCTTTGTCTGAAACACACACCATACATATACACACTATACACACATGCACCACATGCACCATATACATACACACTATGATACACATACACCTTACATGCCATACGTATACACACCATACATATACATACACCACATACCACCTACATATAAACACCATATACACACACATACCACACACATCAAACATATATACTCTACACACCATACATACCACACATGCACACACACAGAGAGCGTGCTTTTCATAGCCTGCAGGAGATGAACTGCCCATTACCTGCACCACTTTGAACTAAAGGTCCCAGGGGTGTCTTCTTTTTCTCTTTGGCATAATAAACAGAATCCTGGATTTTAGGTAGGTCGCTGTCACTTTTGAGAGGCTCTTTTCTTTTGAACTCCACCTAGTAGGCAGATTAAGAACAGAAGGCATCAGGAGTACAGGCCACCTTGAGTCCTTGGTCCTTGGGATGGACAAGGGCAGGAAACCCAGGAACCCAGGAAGCCTTAAAAGGTCTCACTACTCTTGTCCCCTTCTGAAGGAGGTGAAAGGGAGATCCTGCGCTTCCTTCCCAGACCCACTGCTGGGGAGGTCATTTGACTTTCCAGCTTAGGGTGGGATTGGGTGCTGCACCAGGGATGGCACAAAGGGACTTCTCATCCTTTGGGACATGCTTTGAAGTCTACCAAAAACTGCTGCTCAGGAGCACCCCAAATCTCAAAAATTCAACAGTGCCACAGCACAGATATGTAAGGGGATCCAGGATTTATTTTTTGCAATCTTCATACAGTCTGTAGACGATAACAACAAAGTACACAGTCATCATAAAACCTAAGGTTCTTAATGTCCCCCAACCTACACCATTAACTATCATCATGCTGCAAATAATCTTTTTTTTCTTTTTTTTTTTACATCTTAATTCAAGTATTTGGAAACAAATTCAGCCAAATATATAAATGTTCACTTCACACAAGGGACCAAGTAAATCGTCCCTGCTCGTTTTAAAGAGTGTTGCATCAGCCGGGGTTGGGCCGTAAATACAGAAAGCAAGACCTCAGCAGAACTGGTGTCGGTAGCAACATTTTGGCACACTGCGGTGTGCCCCGTTCAATGCTGACAGTATATGAGTCCAAAGCTCTGTACTATACTTGTGAAATGCTCCCTGAATGCCCAAGATCCTCAGCTTTGTACTATAAATATATTTTAAAAGACAAGTTTCAAACTTAAAAGATGATCCACAGCATGCTGATCTGAGTGCCTGGGGTCTTAGTGCAGACTGCCATGCTGTGCCACAGACATCTCTATGTGCCTCCCTGTTCTAGGCTCTGAGCTCCAAAGAAGACTCTATCCTCCTCCTCCTCCCTCTCTCATGGGCAGGTCTGGCTCCTCCAGTAACCTTAAAGCTATTTGCTGCCCAGGGCCTTCAGAAGACCAAGAGACACCAGAATCAATAACAGTGGTCACTCATCTTTCAAAACTTACTTTTTTCTTTGTTTGTATGTATTTATCATTGCCTCCAAACCTCCTGAAAGGCAAAGACAGGCAGTTAGTACATTCAAGCTCAGCCTAGACTCGCCTTATCTTTATAAATTACAGAAGCATCCTTGACCTAGAAAGAGGACCTGCTCCCTAAAGAAGACCCAGCTGATGACAGTAGCTATCTCCTAGCTCAGGAGACAAGGCCAGGAGATCTTTGAGAGTCAGGTGGCCCCTTGTTGATTAGAGAGATGCCTGGCCCAGGGTGGCATAGTAACAGGGTTTGGAATGCTAGAGGCGGCCAGACATTTTAGCAGTTTTGCTGTTTTCCAAAGCATGGATTATTCATATACCTCTCACTTGTTCATATAGCTATCACCATTACCCAGTAAAGCAAGAACCTGCTGGCTTCTCTACCAGGAACCAAAACACTCCATACCTCAGGGCTGATCAGTGGCAGGACTGAGATTGAAACCTGCCTGTCTCCCACCCACCAGACACAGAATTCTGGTCTGACTGGCTATTTTGCATGCTTCCATACCCCTTCCTAACTCATGGGCACTGGGGCCTGCACCAGCAGCTGATGTGCACACTGGACAGGCCCCTCCAACACCATTCTCAGAGGGACAGTGCCCTGGACTGTCTGTATCCACAGTATAGATTCAAAGCTCTCAACGATTGTGCATCACTCCATGCCTGATTTTAGAAATGCAAGATTCAAATATATATGTGTGTATGCATATATAAGCATATATATTTAGAGAGAGAATATATAGATAAATAGATAAACGATTAATACGCAGATGATTGATAGATGGATGATAGACAGAAGATAGAGGATATAGAGATAGATGATAGATAGATAGATGATTGATAGATAGATGATAGACAGATTGATAGATAGATGATAGATAGATAGATAGATGATTGATAGATAGATAGATTGATAGATAGATAGATAGATGATAGATAGATAGATAGATAGATAGATAGATAGATAGATAGATAGACAATAGATAGACAGATAGATAGACAGCTATCACATCAAGTTTTACTACTGAATAGTAATCAGAAGGACTTGGGAATGAGAGACAAATATCAGCAACACTCAAATGGAAAGGCACAGAGACCAGGGAGATGGCTCAGTGGGTAAAGACACTTGACACTGACCCTGCCTGTAGGCAGAAGTTTCTCCCCTGCCTGCCTGTTCCCAAATACCCAGCAGCTGCTTCCCAAATAATTGACTTGGAGGCTTAATATGACTTATAAATGCTCAGCTGGTAGCTCAGGCTTATTACTAACTATCTCTTACACTTGATAATGACTACTTCACCTGACAACCTGAGTTAGATTCCCTGAGCCCACAGTGTGGAAGGAGAGAACTGACTCCCACACTCCCCATGAATGACATGGCATGCATCCCCTAGATAGATAGATAGGTAGGTAGATAGGTAGGTAGGTAGGTAGGTAGGTAGATAGATAGATAGATAGATAGATAGATAGATAGATAGATAGATAGATAGATATGATGGATAGATAGATATGATGGATGATGGATGGTCAGATTGCTTTTAATTTAAAGGAAAGGTACAAGTTGTACTTACTGTTGGATCTCACTGGGGACCCGTGGGGACTTCCAGTAAGGAAGAGATTTGAAAGTCTCCAGTCCTGCAGCAACATAAAAATAATTGTCTTGCAAATCCTTTGAGTTGTCCAAAAGATGCCCATCCATCGTAAACAATCTGTGAACAAGGAGAGAGGATTTGGAAAATGGCAGCCCAGGACATAGGGCACTTTTTCACCTGGTCATTTCATAATGACCAGCAAGTCGAATACCTGAGAAACTGCACTCTCCAGTGAGCATGTGGAGCAAGGCAGGAAGCCTGTGGAAGCTGCTTTTCCTGAACTGCATACTTTCCGCTTAGAGCTCTTTAATTAAAGTGTATTTTTCATTATGCACAAGTCCTCAGAGGGTCTTGAGAACATGATCAGCTCTTGGTTGGTATTCAATTAATTTTAACTAGTAGCAGCTAAAATTAATACAAATTGGCTTACATTGTTGTAGCAATGCTTTAGAAAGAAATCAGCATTTGTTAGCAAATAATGGGTCTTTTTATAATGACCCAATGACTTCATTTAGTACTCTTGGGCAAGTATTCACTGTCTGGTTAATTTAAGAAAAGATTCAATTCATTCCATTGTCAGCTCGTTACACATAAGACAATGAGGAGGAACTACACAAATGGAAGTGACTGCTCCTCAGAGTCAAGGGTCCTCGCAACCTCTGAAGATAAATACAAGGTGCTCAGTCTGCTTGTCTCCTGAAAATCCAAGCATAGGTGACATGGTTCCCAGCCCACAGCACTACTGGGAAGTGATGGGACCTTTATGAGGTAGAGCAGGTACAAAGAAGCTGAGCTAATAGAGTTAGGCCCTTGAAGGGGTATTAGGACCCCAGCCCCTTCTCTGCTGCTTCATGAGGTCAACAACATCTTCAGACATGTACTTCCACCATAATGTGGTGCCTCACCACAGACCCCAAAGCAATGGGACAAAAGCTGTAGAGTGAAACCAACAAGACTGTGAGCTGAAGCAAACCCTTTTCCATATCAAGGTGATTACCCCAGGTATTTTGTTACAGCAACAGAGAGCTGACTAACATGGGTTTCAAGAGGAGGAAGATGTAATTCAACCATGGGCTTCACAAGACCAAAGGAACTTATTTGTCTTGAAGAGTGGTAGCAGGCTACCCATCATGTAGGAATAGGTGAAGCATTCTGGAGTGGCCAGAGGGACCTATACAAAAACCCTAAACCCGCCAGGCGGCGGTGGCACAAGCCTTTAATCCCAGCACTCGGGAGGCAGAGCCAGGTGGATCTCTGTGAATTTGAGGCCAGCCTGGGCTTCAGAGTGAGTTCCAGGTTCCAGGAAAGGCGCAAAGCTACACAGAGAAACCCTGTCTCGAAAAAAAAAAAAAAAAAAAAAGAAAACTCTAAACCCAAGAGTCTGCCTATCACTGAGGGCAAAATGCCAACAGGATACACAAACATGTAGCTGAAGGGCAATTAACAAAGAGTTTGCAACCCAGGAAGGGATTTTGTCATTAGACCATTTTGTCATTAGATCCTCGGGATCCTTGGTCAACCAGCCCTGCTTACTTAATAGTTCTTCTAGTGAGAGACCCTGTCTCAAGAAACAAGGCAATGGTCCCCAAGAATGAAACCTGAAGTTGATCTCTGGCCTACATGTGTGCCACACACACACACACACACACACACACACACACACGGGGGGGGGGGATAAATATCTCTAAACGTCTCCAATCTTTTGCTTGACCAATTAACAGCCAATTCAACTACTTTTTCAAAATGACGGTGTAGTTGGACCCCCTGGTGAGGACTCAGGGTTCCCCTAGTTCTTTCCCATGCCCCCCTTCAGTCTTTCCTCTTAGCCTGTCTCCAGTTCTCTGTGACCCGCCAACCTGCAGAACTTTTCTCTACCAGAGACACACAGCTGCCATAGGAGGCTGGGACTTTGGTAGGAGACCTTCATCCTCCTTCCTGCCCTCCATTCAAGCCTCTTCAGACTTACCCTTAGTCCTGCAGCAACCTGCCCACAGGAGACCCTTTCCCAGCCCATCTCCATTCCCTTCGGACTTGGCCTCTTGCTATTGACCCAGGGTCCCCCTAGTTCTTCCCCACCTCCCTTCTCAGCCTCTCCCTCTAAACTATCTCCATTTCTATGTGACTCACCCACCCCAACCTACAGAGCAGCTATCTACCAGAACCCCCATACCCAACACACTTGGCTAGAACCCAGGGACCCCACAGCCACCATACTTGGCTAGGATCCAGATTGGGCAACACCATCTGAAGAATGGAACACCCACCCAACAAAGATGAGACCAGATATCTACACCAACAAATCCCTCAAACATCATAACTCCAGATGCCTAGATCCCAGCCCCCAAACACAAACATAAACAACCAAGACAATATGCCTCCTACAGTGACAGGTGATGTCCTTCCCCCATGCACCATACCTATCCAGTCTCTACCTTCCATCACAACTGTTCCTCTGTTATCTCATACGACATGCCACGCACTGAATGATGTGCTGAGCATGTATGCCGACTTTTAGAAATCACTAAAATATCACTTTCCAGATGAAGAAAAAGGTACCAAAGAAGTGGGTGTTCTTATGGTCACCAAGATACAGATGGCAGGAGACAGACTTGACCCTGAAGCCCCGGTGAGAGGCTGTGATTCTGGGCTGACTCCTTTGAACCCTTTTGCCCTGTAGAAGCAAAACTTCCTCACTCGTCTGCTGAGTGTTGCCTTCGTGACTGACTTCCCCACGTGGTCCCCCAACTTCTACAGGCCACCAAGTACTGCAGTGCCTCTTCCAGCTGCAGCTCAAGTAGGGGTTCTGGGGTGCACGGTTCTTTGTTGCTTGTTGTTGTTGTGTGCGCAGTGAAGGGTGCACGTGTGCTAAGGTGCATTGTGAAGTCAGGGGACAACTTTGTGGAGTCAGCTCTCTCCTTCCACCCTCACAGACGTTCCAGGGACCAAACTCAGCTCACTAAGCATGCCTGGCAAGCGCGTTACCCATTGAGCCATCCCGCCGGAGGCCCTTCCTTCAGATGCTGTGGCCCCTGCACAGAGCTCATGCCCAGTGCTCAATGTTTGTTGAATAGATTCATGAAACCAGCTTAAAATAAAGGGGGAACACCCAGTTCTCCCCTCCAATCCCCCCCTGACTGCCCACCTGAGAGTGCCTTACTTTCGAACGCCTCCCAGAGGGAAGACTTTTTCTCCAATGATGGCCAGCACACTATTCCAATCTGACAGGCTGAATTTGGGTATAATAATTTTTATAGGTGGGATGAATATTCTTCCATTTGTGAAAACACTGTAGAGATAAGAAGAAAAAAGCATCATTACTACCTTAAAATCAAAGGAGGAAACACTGAAAACTCAAAGAAAACAAAACATAGGTGTATTTACAGAAATGCAAAAATATTCTAATGCACTGAACCACCCTTAACACTACGCCAAGTCCTACAGTACAGTCTTCAAGTCTGCTGACGTAAAAATGGTGTTAGGAAAGCACCGTTTTTGCATTGCATTGTGTCAGGGGCTCATGTAGCCCAGCAGGCTGGTCTCAAGCTCACTTTGCAGCTCTGTTATTCCTGCCTCCACCTCCCAAGGGCTGAGATTACAGGCATACGCTTCCGGTTTATGCACTGCTAGGGATGGAGCCCAGGGCTTCATGCGTGTGAGACCACACTGTAACAACTGAGATCTGTCCACAACTCAGAAAGTATCTTTCCATATAGCTAAAGGTACCCAAATGAACGGGACAAAATTCTACTTCTTAAAAATGTTATGTTTCCTATGGTGGTTAAATTAGAAGAAAATAGTGTCCAGTTGGGAAAACAAAAGGGGAATTATATCTGGAAAATGCAGTCATGTCCCTTGTCACAGAGCCTAGAGAGACACCCAGTGGAAATGCTGCATGATCCTCTGGAGAGTTGGTAAAACACCTGGCCTCACCCCCAGTCTTCAGGCAGCAATATGACCCCAAAGGCTTAGTTCATTATTGCTGTGTGGGGAAAGGTGTACTGAGAACCTCTTCAAAACTCAGCCAAAGCTCCTATTTTATTTGCTGTGCCCCAGTAATCACCACCCCTGGAAGATAGTTTCAAAGTCTCATAATTTTCATTTAAAATAGGGTAAAATAGACCATGTATGGTGGTACACACTTCTAATCCCAGCACATAGGAAGCTGAGGCTGGAATATTCTATATTCTAGGCCAACCTGGACCACATAGAAAGAATCTGTCTCAAAAAAAAAAAGTGTAACTACAAGGCTTATTTCTTTTAGCTTATGTTTTCTTTAACAGTGTGTGAGCTCAATTGTAGAACTCTGACTTGCAAGTTTCTTTGTGTTATTTGCTGTTGTTTATTTGGATTCTTTTCCCTTAAATGTGAATAACTTAAACTATAGTAAATGTATCTTCTTCTCAGAGACACTATAAACACTGGTTGAATGTGTTGTCCCAGTGGACAGAATCTGCTTCCTCTACTAAAGCTTTGAGGCAAGAGAGACTTGCAGCCAGCCAGCTCCAGACTTCAGCTTCTTCAGTATTTAAAACACTGCCTTGTAAGAAAAAAAAAATGGAGCGGACGATGAAGACTTCACACAGTGTTCCCAACAACTGCAAATGATTTGTGTCAAAAACCTTTCTACACAAGAGGAACCCACAGAGACAACTAACCTGGGCTCATAGGAACTCACATTGTCTGGACTGACAGCCAGGGAGCCGCGATGGGACCCACCTAAGCCCTCTACATATGTGTGACACTTGTGTAGTTTGGTCTACTTGTGCGAGTGGGACCTGTCCCTGACACTTGGGCTGGCTTTTGGAAACCTGTTCCTCATACTGGGTTGCCTTACCAAGCCTTAATACGAGGGGAGGAGCTTACACCGGGCGGTGGTGGCGCACGCCTTTAATCCCAGCACTCGGGAGGCAGAGCCAGGCGGATCTCTGTGAGTTCGAGGCCAGCCTGGGCTACCAAGTGAGTTCCAGGAAAGGCGCAAAGCTACACAGAGAAACCCTGTCTCGAAAAAAAAAAAAAAAAAAAAAAAACAAAACAAAACAAAAACGAGGGGAGGAGCTTAGTCCTACCTCAACTTGATACGCCATACTTCATTGACACCCATGGGAGGCCTGCCCCTTTCTGAACAGAAACAGGAGAAGTGGATTGGGAGGAATAAAGAGGAAGCGGGAGGAGGGAATGAGAGGAGAGGAGGGAGGGGAACTTCCATTGGGATGTAAAATAAATGAATCAATTTAATTTAAAAAAATCTAAATACAGGCCGGGCGGTGGTGGCGCACGCCTTTAATCCCAGCACTCGGGAGGCAGAGCCAGGCGGATCTCTGTGAGTTCGAGGCCAGCCTGGACTACCAAGTGAGTTCCAGGAAAGGCGCAAAGCTACACAGAGAAACCCTGTCTCGAAAAACCAAAAAAAAAAAAAAAAAAAAAAATCTAAATACAGATTAACAAAAATAAAGTACTTTAATACAAGCTTGTTATATTTTGCCTACATTTTTAAGGTTGCATGTGCGTGTGTGTGTGTGTGTGTGTGTGTGTGTGTGTGTGTGTGTGTAGGCCAGAGGACAACCTCAGCTGAACACTATCCAGCTGGTTTTTGAGACAGAGCCTGGAACTCTCCAAGGAGGTTAGGTTGGTTGGCCAGTGAGCCTCAGTACTCCATGCATCCCCTCATCTCTAGCGCTGGAATTACAAGTGCTGACCACCATGGGTTCTGGGGACCAAATTCATGCTTGCAAAGCAAGTACTGTATCAGCTGAGCCATCTCTCCAGCCCCCTAACTTTTGAGGTTCCAATAGGCAGTATCACCTGAGTATTGAGAATAGGCACATCCACACACCACCCATATAGCTGAACATGAACAATGTGGATAGCATAACAAGCGAAATCAATGTAATACCCACAGATCCCATCACTCCTTGCCGTGAAATCCACCTCACAGAAATTCGGACACAGACTTTATGTGTGAAGATCTCTCTCACAGTATCATTATTTAGAAAAAAAAAAGATTCAAAGGCCTAAATGTCTGGTCAGAGAGCTACAGTGAAATCATGATACTGCAACACACTAAGTCACACAGCTACCCAAAACGGTTCATGTTTTCATTTGCATTTACCAAGGGTTTGTGACCAAATATAGTGAACGCATTAAAAAAATAATTAAATTAGCCGGACGGTGGTGGTGCACGCCTTTAATCCCAGCACTCGGGAGGCAGAGGCAGGCGGATCTCTGTAAGTTCGAGGCCAGCCTGGTCTACAGCGCGAGATCCAGGAAAGGCGCAAAGCTACACAGAGAAACTCTGTCTTGAAAAACAAAAAAAATAATAATAATAATTAAATTAAATTAAAAGCAGCATTAAGCTTCAGGAGGAAAGCACATGCATCTACGTGCCTCGAGGCTACCAGTGGTTGTTCTTTGGGAATGCATACCTGGGGAGTTTGAGCCTTTGATTTTAGATTCCCACATTTTTCATAAGCAAATAAGATGTTTAAGGTAAAGGAAAGAAATACATATAATCTCCAGATCTTAAGTTAGGGAATACCAAGTTCAAATGAGAAACTAATAAATCACTCTGAAGTTGAGCAGGGACCTTCAGGGAATCCAGATGCCTTGTAGAGCCAAGGTTGTCCAAGGACCCAAATGTTAGTCTCCCCCCAGTGCTCTAGGGAGCAGCACAGCCAGCCTTATCTAAATACCCACAGTTTCCAGAAGTCTTCCATGAATAGGTGACAGACAGCCACACATTAAATCCTACCATGGTGAAATACATGCTGATGGTGCTCGTGCACTTCCAAGACGCTGTAGCTGTCTCACCAGGCATGACATATTGATAAATGCTGATAAGAAACTGTCTCCTGGGTAAACTACATATAAAAAGCAGTGAAGGCATCCACAGTGTACATACAGGAGACTACCTGAACACAGAGCAGTTGTCTATCACTGCTAGGGAAGTCACTAGAGAACTTGGGATGAAAGATGGGAGGGAGATTTGCTTTGTTGGTATCTTTTACAACTGTACACTCTCTGTAAAATATAGACCATTTATAAAAAGTAATTCTGAAGTAGGTGAGGAGAGGCACACATTGCTTAGTCAACACATTACCTACTATGCTACATTTAGACTTCCCAGCAATAGAGGAAAGGAAAATATTCTGAATTTTGGAAGCTGGGAAATAGCATATGGATCTAGATGGAGCAGTATGTGGATTTTAGCCAGCGAGTGATGATGGTAGCTACTGTTTACTGCACACTTCCCATGTATGTTATAAAGATACGTTGTAAAGTCTCAAACTTTCCAGAAACTCAGTAAAACAAATACCACAATTCTGGGACCCAGCTGAAGAAACAGAGGCCAGTGGCTTCCCTAGTCACAGAGGCTCAGTGGAAAGCCAAGTCCTTCTGACTCCAACCCCAAGAGAGTTCTTCTGACTAAGCATCCTTTCTATGACATATCTCCCTTCTCAGAAAGGTTGATGGCCACAGCTGCAAAAAAGCTAGGGCCATGTTTATTCCTGTTGCCACCATTATGCTAAGGTACCCAAATTCTGCTGTGTTGGGGAGAGCCATGGGTATCACCTCACACTTTGGGCTGGCTGCCTTTTTCCTCCCTCAATCCACTGATAAAGCAAACACTTTTGTGGTGATATATCATCTGTGTACCCCAATAAAGTTTATCTGAGGATCAGAGGAAAAAGCTAGCCACTGTATTAGACATTGAAGTCAGGCAATGGTAGCACATGCCTTTAATCCTATCACTTGGGAGGCAGGGATCTGTCTGGATCTCTGTGAGTTCAAGGGCACACTGGGAACAGAGCCAGGCATGGTGGCACACATCTTAAATTTCAACTCTAGTTAGCCATAAAGGTCTGGAGGTCTGTACAGACAGACAGGTAGTGACAGAGCTGGGCAGGAAGAGGAAGTGATGTAGCTGGGTGGAGAGAGTAAATAAGTGAGCAGAACAGAAAGGAATATATGTGTGGGTATACAGGAAGTAGGTTTCTTTGGAGACTGAAGGTCAGTAAGGTTGGCTTTGGCTTGTCCTATTCCTCTGATATTTCAGAATTTACCCCAATATCTGGCTCTTGGTTTTTTATTAATAAGACCGTTTAGCAATTCATGTTACACACTTTTACCCAAGAACCAATTCAAATTGCAAGCTGGGTTGAATTGGAAAGTCCTCCAATACCAAAGTCAAAGCCATGGTCTCTAGAGTTGACTTTAGAACTGCCTCATCCTTCCTGTCACCACTCATTCCCTGCTGGACAGTGAGGTCATGAGGATAAATTTCCATCAGTCTCTTGGTCTTCCCTGACCGGGTACATTTAGCAAATGTAGGGGGCAGTAGAGTGCTGGCGTCAGATTGAAGCAGGTGGACAGCTGGACTTCCTGTTCTCTTTGGTCTCAGCTTCCCCACATCCAAAACTGGAAACCTAGTATATTTTTGAAGATTTCACAACCGCAGTGGGTACACCAGTCACAAACAGACTCCGGCAGCACACTTTCTAGAATCTCTGCTATCATCTCAGCAAACTGGAGTGATTAAAGGGGGAGAAGAAGATTAACGGGTCTAAGAAGGTATCTCGGCGAATAAAGCACTGGCTGGGCAAGTGTGAGGACCAAGTTTGGGTCCCTAGTGCCCGCCTAAAAGCTGGGAAGGCTTAGCAGCCCCCGTAACCCAAACCTCTGGAAATCAGAGACAGGGATAAAAATCAGCACGCTCGAAGTTTAGTGAGTGACCCTGCCTCCGTGGATGCCAATGTCTGGCCTCAACATACACATGTACACGTGTGTACCCACACCTACATGAACATGCATACATGCACTAATACCAAACATACCAAAAAAAAGTGGGAAGGTCTAGGAAGACGGCTCAAGCAGCAAGTGCGTGTCTTGCAAGTATGAGAACCTCGGTTTGATCCCCAGAATCCATATATTTTAAAAAAAAAAAAAAAAAAAAAAAAGAGCCAGGTGTGATGGTGTGATCCCAGCACTGGGGAGTAGGAGAGAATCAGATCCCTGGACCTCACTGGCCAAGTCTCCTGGGAACTAGCCTGCTCGGCAAGCTCCATGCCAGTGAGAGACTATCTCAAAAACAAATGGAGTGTGGCCACTGAATGACAACAAAATCTGTCCCTTGGCCTCCACAGGTTGGTGCGCACATGTGCACACACACCTACATGCATGAGAACACACACTCATTCACACACACACACACAGTAGAGCACATAGTACAAAGAACTCGAGATGCTCATAAATGAACCCACCGATAGGTATGTCCAAAGTCTCTTCCCCAGTTCATGAGGACTCCAAATGGCTTCCAAGCATGGGACTAAACCCTAGGTCCCACTTCAATTCCCAGGCACTGGTGAGACGCCCCTTCTCCCTTGGGAGAGACACCATCACTGTAATGCTTCCCAATGATGAAGGGGCCTAATGGCCTAAGTAACAACCTGGCACTTGAAGGAATTGGACAGGGAAAGGCCAGATGTTTAGTCTGCTCAGATGACCACTGGATGGCCTCCAAGTTTATCATTTACACAGCATGAGTCCTCACTGCAGACGGGAGAAAACAATGGTTCTGGACTCGTCAACTTTTATCTTGACCGGCAGTTATCCTCACTTCTTCTACCACAAACACAGTCTCAGCAAAACCTGTGATGTGGTACAGGCCAAGGGGAGCTGTTCCCCAGCCTCCTCCTCCACGGGGACAGATGGCTTTCTCCCATGACCAACAGCAAAGACCATCATCCTCACTCTGAAACCTCTATCTTCAAAGTGTTTCCTAAACACTTTTCTGCCAAAATACCTCCAGACCCAGTCACCCAAGCTGCCTACTTGTGTACACCACCACCACTTCCAGGGGAGAGGACCGTATTGGTCAGTGAACTGAATTCAGGTGGGATTCTGCATGATTCCACTCATGGCATACACTGATGTTAAACTTCAGGTCTGGGTCTCACAACTAAAAATTGAAGTACTAGTGAGATGGGAAGAGACTTCAGATGAACTTTTCAACCTGAGGCTCTACTAAGAGCCTCGGCAGCTAGCAATGCCCCGAGGCAGACCACTGCCCTGAGAGCTATGCAGCAGATGTGATGCTACTACAGTCAGCTTCTACCCATGGTCTGGGGCATTGTCACCTTTTGTCCCCTGCCTTCTCTTGCTCACCAACAGACCAAATATCTGCCTGCTACCCTCCAGTTCCAATGACCTCACCCACAGGGAGTAGGGAGTCTCTGGGAAACCATTCCCAGGATTTATAAACTTTTCTCCAGTTCACTTCTAAGAAACAATGGAAATAAAATTCTCTGAACCCCACCCCACCACACACACACACACACACACACACACTATTCTTTACTTCTCCACGTGAAGCTAAACTGAGAGAGGGCACCCCACTACAGAGCAGCATAGGCGAAGGATGTCCTTGCAGAGTGGGAATCACGGGTTCCATGGTGAAGACCAGAACCAGGTCCCACCTCTGAGCCTCAGCCTCCAACTGGGTGACTTCACACTTCTATGGTCACAACCATCTATGTGATGCCCCCTCTGTCCCACCAAGGAGCTCCAGGCTGTCCCTCCACAGAACAAAAGCTACACTCCACAAGTGATGTCAGCCCTGCCATTCCATTCCAAGGGAAGGTCAAAGTCCTTCCTACCCTGAACGCCTGACACAGAGCACCGGACACAGAACCTCTCCCTAACTTCCACTTGCTTTCACAATCGCAAGCTCTCCCGGCCAATATGATCGGCTTTTTCCGTAGTGGAAGGACGCTGCATTTAGATGGTTATTTGGGTCCATCTAGTGGAACTTCCCAGCATTCCTATGAGGAGGTAAAACACATCTTCTGCAAGAGTCACGGATCTCCTGGGCCATGGCCCGAAGCTGTGCTACAGAGATGTATGGGTCTTCATTAACCAGGACTCACAAACCAGTTACATTCCCTAAGAGTGTGGCATGTTCTACAGAAAAGATGGTGTCTGCAAAACACAGAAACACTGGGACTTCTATCATTTCAGAGAAGCCCTGATAGTTTTCAAACACTTTTAAAATGCATTTGTGGGATGTGTGTGTGTGTGTGTGTGTGTGTGTGTGTGTGTGTGTGTGTGTATGCATGCACTTGTACATGTCACAGGACTTGTATGAAGGTCAGAGAGCAACTTATAGGAGTTAATTCCCTCCACCCTGTGAGTCTAGAGGATTGAATGGAGGTCATCAGGTTCAGTAACAAGCACCTTCACTCACTGAACCAATGACCTAAAACCTTGTGTGTGTGTGTGTGTGTGTGTGTGTGTGTGTGTATTTGCAGATGTATGTATGAATGTGTGAGTATAGAACCAATGTGGAGATCAAGGGACAATCTACCAGAAATCAATTCTTTTCTAGCACCTTATAGTTTCCAGAGGTTGAACTCAAGTTATCAGACGTGTGGGCAAGTATCTCTACCCACTGTCTTGCCAAGCTCCTGGTGCTTTTGTTTTAGACTAACTATATACTTATCCTTTCTCTGCACGTTACAGGTCCAAGAAAGGTCCTACTGCTTGAGAGCCTGGCTCTTTTGAGGCCCGGTATTTTCAAGAGGCAGTGTGGGAACCCCTGACTTGTGTTTCTCAATGACTCCCTTCTGGAAGCTGAGGGCGAGTGACATCCAAGAACACAGTCCTAGAGACTTTGCAGATAGGTGGGAGAAGCAAAGCTTGCCTCACTGGGCCATTCCCTTCTCTCTCTCTAACCGTTGCTTTTTCACCTCATGGAAACTGCTGCAGAGGACGGCACCCCAACTGGACAGCATCCTCAGAGAAGGACAACTTGGAGACTCATCAGAGAGAGGTGGTATGTGACCAGAGAGACAGAGGAGGAGGAGGAGAGGAAGCTGAAGAGGAAGTGAGGAACCGGCTGAGAATAGGTGGCCCATCTGGAGAGCATTGCCTGAGAGGAGCCAGGACATGCTCAGGTCTGGCGCTCATGATAATGAACTCACTTTATGTGCCGGGAGGTCCTGCTCTGTGTTTGCCACCTGGAAGGCACGTTGATGTCACAATGTACCACCGGCTTGATCTGCAAAACAAACCACAGGCCTCAGAGTTCACTTCAGACGAGCAAACACTAGTCAGTACCAACAGCAAGGACAGTAGGACCCCCAAACCATCAAGGTTTTAGAGCACCAAGGACAGGTCCCCAGGGACTCAGAGGGGTGGGTGTGCACCAGGAATCCAACCTCTCTCCAGTAGGTGACATGTGGAGGTGAGGTAGGCTGAAGGCTTATACTCCAGTGGTGGGGAGTGGGAGGGAGACACACAGAGTGTCAGGGCAAAGAATGACAAAGCTGAGGAGGGTACATGGCTCACAGTAGGGATACACCCAGTGATGCACCCAGTAAATGCACACTGGTAGCCAAGGTGTCCCCACGCTCTGCTGGACATATTACAGGGTAAGAGGCCTGGACAAGGTGGCTTCCGTTTTCAGACCATAGAGTGGAGTGTGGTAGCCAGGAGGGACAACTTCCCTACATTCCCCAGGCCTGCTGGGCTCTTTCCTAAGAATGAATATGCAGAGGCAAAGGCAAGGCCTTCTCAGGACTTCACCTCAGGATATCCAAACAGGAAGAAATTTTGGGGGTCCTGGCATAGGAGAATAATAACTCTCTTCTCCCAGCCTGCTGGCCAGGAGTGCACAGAGATGCAGGAGGAAAAGATTGGGAAGTCAAGGCTACCCCTGAGCTAGGCAGCAGACAGGCCCAGCACCTTGGCCAGAGCCCCGTGGGCCACTCCAGTGATGTCGTTAGCTCCTCTAAAAGGCTGCCCTGACCACTGGTCTCCGTCCCTCAGTCCACCACGTGGACAGTATAGGTCCCCACCTCTCACCGTGTCCCTACTCCCACTCACTAAGTCACATCCTCTACCTCTGTCTCAAGTTACCCCACAACTGTTCTGTGGCATGCTGCAAGTCTCCACATCCTTCACTTGGTAACAAGGCCAATCCTGCCTGAGCCCCACTTCCCTGTCACCCCCATCACTGGCCATCACCCATCATGATAAGTCCCACCTGAGCAATAAGGCATCTAGCATTGTGCCTCCCTACCATACCTCTCAGCTACTCCATACTCTCTGTGTCAGTCAGTAACCTTACCTCATGTCCACATAAGCCACAGGCTCAGCAGACTATGAGGGCCTGTGGCTCAGCACAATCCAGGCTCCCCTCTTCCCCATACTCACTACCCTCCCAAGTTCAAAGTTATCTCTAAAATGATACAGGAGGAGCCACTCCTCATGAATACCCAGAGCCTGGTGACCCTCCTACCTCACACTATACATTGCATGGAGTGCCCTTTCCACAGGGCTGTCCTGTGTACCTGACACTACACACAATACCAGTTGGGGTCCTCCCACTCCTTGCTCTGCTAAGACCCCCACACACACTTCTCAGGCTAGGGGGCCCACGTCCCAACCCACATCCACCAGAAGCACAGAAGAACCCTGGTCTGGCAAACACCTCCCTCCCACACTTTCTATATGACTCTAAGGACCTGGCTGGGGACGGCACCTCTACCAGTCCCCAGACCCTGCTTTGCTCTGCCTGTCCAGCAAGGGGACTCAGGAGCCTGTCCCACCCTTTCATCTCTCCCTCCCAAGCCTTCCCCAGCCCAGCACTAGATGGCACTTAGCCTGCTCATCCGGGGAGCTTGTCTGAACATCTCAAGATGAATAAAAAGTCACCAACAGATTTTCTTCAAAGAGAGTAAGAGACAGCCAGAGACTGGAAAATAAGGGTCAACGTATCACACACAGACATACGTACACACATACACACACACACACACACACACACACACACACACACACACACACACACACCACAGAGGCAAGAATGTACTGACCCTGAACCCTGGGGACCCCATTTAGAAGAAGGATGTGTGGCATGCTAGGCCTGGAGGAGGAGCAGAGGCTTTGGCATCTACTGTACCCATTGGCTACCAGTGGCCAGAACAGAGACATGATGACCGGGAGGCAGAAAATAGGACATATCTCAGCACAGACTCACAGGCAGGAAATCACGGGCTGAGAGTCGGATGGCTCGGGTCAGATCCCAGCCCTAGCAGGCACAGCTATGTGACTGGCCACTCTAAGCAGCAGTTTGCTAATTCTTTGCAGGGGAGATGACCTATCTTACAGAATTCTTACGACCATGAAATGGCAGAATGTTTTCTAAAAGACACGATGTAGAATCGATCATATTTGTTATAAGTACTTAAAATTAAGTTAATGTGAGAGTCCCCTACCATACTCAGGGGAGGATAGGTGTGTCTCCTCAGACATCTTAGTCTTATTTGGGTCCTAGCAGAATTGCTGATCACCCACACATGTCCACTCCAGACCTCACTGTAGGGAAAAGGGGCTGGCTAAAGAAACCTACCCTGACCCTGGAGCCCAGAACTAGGGAAAGAAACACAGCCTGGGTCTAGAACTTGAGCCAGAAAAAGGAACACTTTATCCCTAAACCCAGAACCAAGGAAACATGCCATGACTCTGAAACCAGTACCAAAGAAACACTCTTGGACCCTAGAATCAGAGTCAGTGGAAGAAATATGCCCTGGCCTTAGAATTAGTGTCAAAAAGCTAAGAAAGGCCAGTGAAAGAAACACAGTTTGGCTCTGAGATCACAGCATCTCTGCTCCTGGCCAACTGACCAGTGAAACCAACAATCCCAGAGCAGGAAAGTAGCACCCTGACCCTGAAGCCAAGAACCAGGGAAAGAAACACAGCCTAGGTCTGAGACCTGAGCCAGATAAAGGAACACTTTGATCACTAAATACAGAATCAAGGAAACATGCCCTGACTCTGAAACCAGTACCAAAGAAACACTCTTGGTTCCTAGAATCAGTCAGTGAAAGAAATATGCCCTGGCCTTAGAACTAATGTCAAAAAAGCCAAGAAATGCCAGTGAAAGAAACATAATTTGGCTCTGAAGTCAGAGCCATCTCTGCTCCTAACCCACAAAACTAACTAATCCCTGAGCAGAAAAAAAACTAATCAATCCCTGGTTGACTCTACCCCCGAGACATCCTGTATAAGCCGCCCTGCCTGGTCAGTTGTGGGCTGTTCTCTCTACCCTGGTAGAGGTAGCTACTCTCCTGGACTACTCCTTCCCAGATAAATATCTTTCTCAAAAGAGTTTTGAGTGTGAAGATCTTAATTTGTCAGCCCAGAGGAGAAGATTGCTAAGACAGATGTCCCATAGTGGACTGAGCAGAAAAAACCTTGCTGAGATGTCCCTCAGGGGACTGATCAAGGGGGAGCTGAAAAGTAACACTTTTCTCCAGAGCCAGAGGAGATTGCTACATTTCTGCAGGGGTTTCCCCTTTTTGCAGAGTGAAGAAAAAAGAAGCAACATCTTAGGCCAGAGAAGAAGCAGAGCTCTGCTAGGAAGCCCTCTTAAGTGGGGGGCTCTCCAGAAGGGGAGCAGGATTGCTATATCCTACAGGGAGACCATCCCCCACCACACCAGGTATAGCCTGACTCCTGAGCAGTCAGGATATCCTTCCCTGCTGAGCTGTCCTAGCAGCTCCAGGCCTGACTCTCCCGGGCAGTCAGAATACCTTCCCTCCCAGGGCTGAGCTGTCTCATGGCAACTCCAGCCATCAAAGCTGTCCTAGCAGCTCGAGGTATCCAGAATACCTCACTGTCCAGGGCTGAGCTGTCTTGTTGCAGTTCCAGCCATCAGAGCTGTCCTAGCAGCTCAAGGTGTCACCTGACTCCCCAAGTAGTCAGGATACCTTTCCCCCAGAGTTGCAAAACTGGCCTCACAGAGTTGCAACACACTTATATTTTGGTGCCAAAACCCAAGACCAAATCCACTGAGTGGCAACAGTTACTTATACTCACCATCTTAGAAGACAACACCAAGATCCATCTGTGCAACAGTGAAACTGGGGTAATGTCTCATCTCATGTCTGGCTCCTCTCAACTGAACTATCAGAGCCACACGTGGGGCCCTGGTTTCTTGTTCCCCAGCTGTTCCTAGTCACTCTGTCCACCCCTAGCTCTTCCTAACTGTTTGCTGCCCTAACCTCGTGTGTGTGTGTGTGTGTGTGTGTGTGTGTGTGTGTGTGTGTGTGTGTGTGTGTGTGTGTGTGTGTGTGTGTGTGTGTGTGTGTGTGTGTGCGTGCGCGCGCGCACGCGTGCATGCATGCATGTGTGTAGTGCCTGCTCAAGTATACAGGTGCCCATGTGCATGTATGTGGAAGCCAGAGTCAACCTCTGGTGTCATTCCCCAGGACCACCCACCCATCCCTTGATTTTTAAAGTGGGGATCTCTTGCTGGGACCTGGAGCTCATCAACTGGCTATAGACTGACTAGTCACCAAGCCCCAGAGACCACTCTATCTCTGGAAAGGGGGGGGTGAAAGGAGTGTGAAAGCTAAAAGACAAAGAATATTGCTGCAAAATAATATCTTCCTGACAAGGACATTCCACTCATGAACTCATGGTAGCTGTGGTTGCTGGCCCATGACCTGCACAAGAGCAAGCCATTGAGGGCTCTAACACAGAGAAGAAGGAACTTAAAGAGGCCCTACCCCCTAGCTGAGGAGATAGTGGCAGTTTCTGACTACTGGAGGAGGGAGAGGCAGTTTTCTGTAGCAGTGTGGCCCATGGTATGTTGCCCATGTTCCAGAGGATGGCGCTCTATGCATTGATTAGTTTACAGGTGTGCACCACCAGGCCCAGGTTTTGTTGGTTGAGATGGGATCTCACACTGTAGCCCTGGCTAACTTGGAACTCACCTCTACCCACCTGCCTCTGCCTCCAGAGGGCTGGGATTAGGTATGTGCCACCATACCTAGCCAGCCCCTGTTTTTTCCATGGGCACCGGGGTTTACACTCAGGTCCTTACACTTGAGTGGCAAGCGCTCCACTAACAGACCCAGCTCCTCAGTCCCAAACCCTTCTTCACAGCAAGCAGAGACGGGGTATTCTGTCATTGCCCTCCTCATGCTCTGCATTCTAGCTGGCCTTCATGGATTCTGCCCTGTCTCTTTCCATCCTTGTTTGGGGGGTTTGTTTTTTGAAATTTTTTTGGTATCATTGGGTTATTTCATACATGAACATAATGTATTTAAGTCATAGCTACCTCCCATTCAGTCCTTCCAACACCTCCCAGCCACCCCCAAAACCCCTTTCTCCTTACTTCGTGACTTATTTTTAATAATCTACTGAGCCTAATTAGTGCTGCCCAGCAACTGCCAACATCTCCTTAGCTAGAAGAGGGGGGGTCTCTTACATCCCTTCTTTCTGTACACAGAAGTGCTGACTGGCTTGATCTTGTGCAAGTCTTGTGCCAGCAACCACAATGGGTGAGAGTTCATGAGTTCAGTGTCCTTATTAGGCCCAGAAGACATTACTTTCCAACAATATTCTCTGATCTCTGCCTCTTACAGTGTTTCCATCCCCTCTTGTAAGGAGTGTGGTAGTGACTTCCATTTAGGGTTCTGAACACTTCACAATGACCAATTCTCTACACATGGACCAGCTGTAAGTCTCTGTACTGACAGCTGTGGACTGTATTAATCAGCTTTTGGAATGAGGGGTGACAGCTGGACTGGCCTGTGTGTATAAAGCTAAGTATCTAGAAAGTAGCTTGCAGCGACTCAGCCTTCATATTGCTTATGGTGTTCTTGTTTCATGGCTTACAACATCCTTTCAAGTATGAACCTTCTTGGGGTAGGAAGTCCTTCAACAGAATGACCCTAGTGCTGACCAGTGAGTGAGCAGCCCCCAGGAGATTATGGTAACTACCCATGAAGCTGAATGGACAGTGGATGGGGGAAAAGTACCAGGACAAATACACAACTCTGCTAATCACAGAAACTCTACTAGTAGCCAGTAGGGGAAGGGATCCAGAGTGAATGAGACCAGTGAAGGCTGCAGAAAGTTCACGCATGCACTATTGCTCTGTTGTGCTTTGCATATAAAGTGACCCTCATACTACAGTGAGAAAACTAAATGCCGTGGATAGCAGCAACAAGCGTGCATTTACAGACCTTGTCTGAAAACAAAATAACAGAAATTGCGCTCTGAGAAATTCTACTGGGTACAGACACCCTAGAAAGGGCTTTCTGCTTGATTGCATACAACTATGGAAACAACGGGCTAATTGCTCTTCTGATGTGTTAATGACTCATTAACCCCAATAGCACCTGCCTAATTAAATAACTGCAGCCATTAAGTACACATTCTGGATTCTTGTTCCCTGTACTCCATGTAATCATGTCCTAAGAGGAGTCTAGCAAATGTGGCCTTTACTGTCTGGTGGGAAAGACAGTCTCACTCATACTTATCAGATCTGATGAGTCACACACATCACTCATCTACCTGAGGCTGAAGTGCCTAATGGGCTATAAACCTACTACTACCCAAGGTAGTAAAACTAAGCCTAGGGCTGGAGAGATAGCTCAGAGGTTAAGAGCACTGACTGTTCTTCCAGAGGTCCTGAGTTCAATTCCCAGCAACCACATGGTGGCTCACAACCATCTGTAATGAGATCTGGCGCCCTCTTCTGTATACATAATGAATAAATAAATCTTTAAAAAAAAAAAAAAAAACTAAGCCTAGAATGGAGACATGAGGGTAACCATGGAGTAGTTCTCAATGCAGCTGTAATACAGTTACCACCTGGCGCTAAGCCTGGTGGTAGGCTCTACAAAACAGCCTAACTAATTTCCAAAACAACTCCACAAAATAGCCAAGTGACAGGGAACCAGATTATACACTCTCCCCAGGAGTGCACGACATCAGGGGCTCTTGTCCATGAAAAGCCACCCCAAGGCATGTCCTCACAGTTCACACCATGCGGCACCATGCTGGCCGAGTGCTCAGGGACACCCGGGACGGCTCTGACTCTTAACAGTGTAATGTGGGCCTCAGATGCTTAACATTCCCCGACCTGCTCTTCGTGTGTATGATGCAGGCACAGTAACAAATCCCTTCACAAGGCCACGGGTTTCAGAGTGAAAGGTACCCATGGAAAACACACCGTGGCAAGAGCCTGGAACAGGCGAAGGGAGGGCTCACCTGACAGTTGCTTGTGGTTGTCATTGTGAGGCCAAGTCTCTGCTCTTTACCTGTTCTCACGCTGTCCGTGAGACACCTTCAGGAAACATCCAAACACTGCTTGCCATGCAAAGCCTAAACCAAAAAGACTCCAGCGCCAAGGAGAGACGTCCTCGCATAAACACATGCAGAAAGAAACCAGATAATGAGCAATACACTCTCCTATGCTCCGGTGTATGTGTGGAAAGGGGGTGGGGGTGTCCATGAAGAAATCTCTGCCATTAAACATCAGGTCCCTAAGCTGCTGTTTGAGCCAATTAATATCAAAGACACATGGGTGCCAGAGACCATGAGTACCTCAAGGAGCGTGCCATGATCTGCACAGTTCTTGTTTTTATTTGTAAAAATGTTGATTGTTTTTTGTTTTTGAGACAGGGTCTCATGTAGCCCAGGCTGGCCGGAAATGCACTATGTAGCTGAGGATGGTTTTGGCTCCAGATTCTCCTGCCTCCACCTTCAGAGTGCCAGGGTTAGAGTGCCAACCCACTCCTGGTGGCTCAAATTCCAGGCTTCCTACATTCTAAGAAAGTTTTCTACTGGCTGAGATACATCCTCCGGCCCTTTTGTTTCCTGTGTGAAGAAGGGCTGGAGAAACGGCTCAGCAGTTAAGGGGCTGGGTAGAGGGCTCAGCAGGTGGAGCACTTACTGTGCACATGTGAGGATCTGAGTTTGAACCCCCAGAGCCCTCAGAAAAGCTGCATGAAGGTAGCATGCACATCTGTAATCCCAGCGCTCCTACAGGGATGTGGAAGTCAGAGATGAGAGAATCCTCCAGAAGCCCTAAAGCTAGCCGGGCTTTCACAGAGGCTCAGAAGCCTTGCCTCAAACAAGGTGGAAGGTGGGGACACTGAAGGCTGTCACCTGACCTCTGCACCCATGCCGTCACCCGTGCCATGGCATGCCAATGCCCTCACTAGTGCACACAAATGTGCACACACAGAGACAATTTTTCAATGATGAGTTGTATGACTAAGCCAATTTGATGTGCTTTGTAATGTGCCCTCTGAGAGTCTAGGAAGGAAGCAGGAGTACTTGGCGCCCCCATCGCCATCATCACCACCAAGCAGCTGAAGCCTCTCTCTTCCCAATAGCAGGAACATGCATGCTGAGGGACACGTGCACACACTCACACGTGCACACACAGACACAGACATGCACACACACTGCCAACAATGTTCTTGGAGGAAGTTCACCCTCCAGAACCTCTTCCATTCTGCCCTAAAAAAAAAAAAAAAAAAAAAAAAAAAAAAAAAAAGATAGCAAATGAGACCCGGCCACTCCTGGATTGGTAATAATTACCTCCTACCGGGCTCTAATGATGGCCATTGTAAAAAGAATAAGTGGGCAGGGTGGAGAAGAAAGTGATGAACAAGAGAAATGCAAGACTAGAGGGATTCAACCTAGGTTTAGTCAGAGGCGTGTTCACCACGGTTACCCAGCCCTTTTCTTCTATGGTCCAACTGCATGCTTGGTTAGCGATCACAGCAGCTTCGGTGCCAGCCTGAGGGAAGGGAGCCAGGTCTTCAGACAGAAGCAGAGGAGGAGGAGGAAATAAGAAAGCTGGCACACTGGAAGGGATGATGATGTGCCCAGTGACCATCCAAAACACCTTCCCCGTCAGCCTGACACCAAACCTGGAAACCCTGACAAGACACTGTCTCTGAAACAGCTCTAACAAAAACTCAGAAGTCATTAGCCCTCACAATCCAGCACAGAGATCCCTGGGGAAGGAGTGGCATATCCTGCAGAGAGAGAGAAGGGATGTAAAAGAGGTTCCCCCAAAGAGACACCTTCTTACACAACACAAGGGAATACAAGTTGGAACAGACATAATAAAATAGGAATCGGGGAAATGGGAAAACCAGTAAAGCCAGATGATGGGTCATGAAAACCAAAGAAAGTTGATAAACCTGTAGCCCAAGTGGTCTAATTCAGTTCATCTTATTAGTCTCAAACACTTACTTCCTTCAACTTTCGCATCTTTGAAGGTTTCCTGGGAACTATATGAATATAGCTGCAAAAAAAAGAGAGGAGAAATCAAAATTAGAAAGACAATATTCACACTGACCCATGGAGCCTCTGCCCAGGCAGCCAATGTCAGCAATGAAGCAGACAACCCCACGAGTCAGAAATTAATCCACTGCAGTGTGTCCTGGGAACCCCCGAGCCATGCTAACCAGCCCTGCCCTGGGGAACGCTTTCCAGGGACATGTCTCTCCCTCAGATGCATGTATTCATTAGAGTGACCTTAGAAATAATGGTCTAAGGCTGGAGAGGTGGCTTGGTGGTTAAGAGCACTGACTGCTCTTCCAGAGGACCCAGGCTCAGTTCCCAGTACCCAAATGGTGGCTCACAACCATCTGTTACTTGAGTTTTCCAGGATCTATGTCTGGCCTTTACAGGTACCAAGCATGCACATGGTATACATACAAAATGCAGGCAAAACACTCATACACATTTTTTAAGTAAATAAAATCTTTTAAAAACTATTTTAAGTATTTTTATTTAAAACATTTAATTAAATATTTTAAACAATAGGGAATAATGATCTAATTCACTAGCCTTCTGACTTTTTTGGTGATGATGGTAATTTAGTTGGTTGGCTGGTTAATTGGTTGGTTGGTTGGTTGGTTGGTTGCTTAGTTGGTTGGTTGGTTGGTTGGGATTTGGGTTTTGCTGTGGAACAATCTTTGTACACTGTAAATATGTATTGCTCTCATTGTTAATAAAAAGCTGATTGGCTGATAGCTGGGCAGCAAGAGATTGGGTGAGACAGCCTGACACAGGGAGAATGCTGGGTAGAGGAAGGGCAGGGTCAGAGGAATTGCCAGCCAAACACAGGATGAGTCGGACATACAAAATGAGATAAAGGTTAAAAGTCACAAGCCTCGTGGCAGCACATAGATTAACAGAAATGAATTAAGTTGTAAAAGCTAGTTAGTAATAAGCCTGAGCTATTGGCTGAGCATTTATAATTAATATTAAGCCTCTTTGTGATTATTTTGGAGCTGGCAGTCAGGACAGGAAAACTCTGTCTACAGGTTTTTGTTTTTTGTTTGTTTTGTGGTTATTTGTTTTGAGATGGCTTGACTCTGTAGCCCAGGCTGTTCTAGAACTTGTCATACTCTTGCCACTGGCTCTGGGATTACCAGCACACAAGCACCATGGTCATCTCCACTTATAGAGGAGTGAAGTCAGAGCAGGTAGCAAGTGTATGCTGCAAAGTAGATGTCATCAGACATTGCCCTCCCTTGAGTGCAGCCCTGGAGCTAGAAACCTGCCTCCTGCCTAACAATCACTCGGTGGTTACCAATACTAGGATTCATTCATGATCTCCTGGACTCCTCCAAAGGGCCTGGGTCACTTCTATAGCTCTGTCCTCTATAGCACACACAGCCTGTCTTCTGGGTGCAGGCAGGCTCCACGCCACCACAGCTGCTGCTGTTCTCAGCGGTCGTCTGATACTAGCATCTCCAAAATGCTGGGGTCTTCTGCTGCAACTGGGCTGCACCTTCACCAATGGCCTCTCCTGGCCTCTCACAGTGCCAAGCCTCAACTGCTCTCCATGACCCCTTCACCCCTTCAAAACCAGCATCACCTGGGTGACTCTTACACACGACCAAGCCCAGCTGTCTGTGCCAAGGTACAACCTTGGCCACCTCTGTAACACAGTCGCTATGTGCTGTCTCTGAGGAAACACTTCCCAGAAGATTTCACCTCGACACTGGTCTTTTCTTAATCATTGCTAACTTCTTAGCCTCAGCTAAGCAACATCAATTGTTCCAGTAAAGCAAATGTTTTACTTCAGTGGTTCTGGTCTCTTGTTAAACTCAGCTTATTCTTCAGCCCCAGCTGACCAAAACCACAGATTCTCAATTCAAAATAGCAAACAGCCCTGATAGAGTCTTTAAGTGACTCTCAAACTTCCTTCTGGAACTTCACCAGCCAGGCCTCCATCATCTACACTGCTCTCAACATCATCCTCCAAGCTCCCACAGAACAGTTCACCAGGTTTTGAACACTCAATGGTTTTTCTTGCCCAAAGTTTCAAAATCCTTCTACAATCCTCCCAAAAGCACATGGTCAAGTCTGTCACAGCAGTACCTCATGATCCTGTTACCAGTTTATCTTAGTTAGGGTTACTAGTGCTATGATGGGACTCCACTTCAGGCCAGCATCAGAGTGGAACCCAAAGTCTGAAAATGAGACCACCTACACTCATGCATGGGGCTTTATAGATGTCCTCATTTTGCCACAACTTTTGGCCCTTAGGACTTTCAAAGAGCCTTCTATGTTCCCACAGAATAAAGCATTTTTAAATGATAATACAGACTAGCCTAAGAATGATATCTTAAGACTCCTCCTTTTTAAAAAAAAAAAAAAAAAGATATGCGTCTTCCATCGCTGCCGATCTGTATAGTTTTAACCCTATGCAGGGAAGGATTAACTTAGGGCTGGTAGATAGAGGAAAAAGAAGTAAGTATTTGGCACAGAGTCAAGTCACTAAGCCTGACCTTCACAGAGTGGCTAGAGAAAGATGGCCCCCGACAAGGGGGCGACTGGGGAGCCATAGGTACAGTCACCAGGAGGATGGCATGTCCTTGTCTAGGGTGGACAGGACCTCGGTCTTTGTGGTGGTGGTTGTTTATGTCATGTATATGCATGAGCGTCTGCCTGCATGCACATATGGATGTGTACCACATGCATGCCCCGTGCCCTCAGAGGCCAGAATTGGAGCTGTAGGTAATTGTGAGCCACCACGTAAGTTCTGAGAAACAAACCAGGGTCCTGTGCAAGGAGGCGCACGCCTTTAATCCCAGCACTTGGGAGGCAGAAGAAGGCAGATCTCTGTGAGTTCCAAGCCAGCCTGATCTACAGAGCAAGTTCCAGGACAGTTTCTCTGTGCTACACAGAGAAACTCTATCTTGAAACACCAAAAAAAAAAAAAAAAAAGCAAGCAAAAAAAGTTCATGCTCTGATCTTTGAAACTTATCCAGACCAGGCAAAGCTCAGCCTGCGGATATTCACCCTAGGACTCTGCCCCTCATTGACTCCGCCCACCAGCCTGTCCTTCAACCTTCCTAACCTTCTCATACTCTCCATTTTTCCAAGTTCATATTGCTCGTCAGCTCTAAGATCCTGGTTTTCATATATTCTCATGAACAGTAGTCTCCCAAAGGAGACAACCATTACATTTTACAAAACATGCAAAAAAAAACAATTCAGAAAATTAAGGCACAAAACCACAAAGTGCTGTGTGCTATTCGGTGTCGCACTCCTGAGGACATAGAGACAGACCAGAGAGAGCAGGATCCAGCCAGCCGGGTGGTTAAAGGGTGTCTGTGAAACCTGAGGCAGGTTTTCTTCTTCTGGGGCTGGTGGTCACTGAGCAACTTCCTTGACATTTCCAGAGGGAGAAGAAGATGTAAAGTGGCCCTGGGTGCAGGCACCTTGAAGAAGGGCATTTAGTTAACCCCTAAAAGTGTGGTGCTGTAAGGTGGACACCACCTGGTTTACTAATGAGAATGTGAGTACTGAGTGGATCTCGTTTGCCCAAAGTTGCTCAGGCAGGGATGTCTGGATTCAGTTCCACACAGAGGGGGTCCTTGCCCACTCCCTGGACCTTGACTGTCTCTCTCCCACCAGCTGCCATGGCCTGTCACACCTTCTCCCCACTCCCAGGCCTTGATAGGTATGACAAGGCAGAACCAGGAAGGCTTGACTTAAACAGTACATTCACAACTGTAACCCAGCAAGCTGCTCTGTGAAAACCTTTCAAGCCACAGGCCCCTGGTCATCATCGGAGGGAAACCCCAGGACTGCTAATGACACAATTATAATCTTATTATCTGGTGACTAGTAACAGAATCTAAGGCCCGTGCACCTTAGTGATGCCGGTGCAGAAGTGTTTCATAGTTTTATTGAGCAGGCTGGAGCCCGATTTCACACGCCATTAAAGATGAAGAAAATGAAGCCTAATTGTTTCTCTGTTGTTGAACTCACCCGCAGATATCATGCATCTATGTCATAGCAATAAAAGTGCCAGAGTCATGCAAACTCATCTGTACCCCTTTGCTGCCACCCTTACTTGGATTCTCTGAACCCCACGTTCTGTATGTAGCCTGTTGCTACCAGGGACAGCGGTTCCTGCAGCCAGACGCCCTGGATGAGGCCCTGGATGGGGTGTGCTGCTCCTGAGAGCTGGGTGAGGCCCCGAGTGAGGTGTGCTATGTTGCGGAGAGCTGGGTGGGATGTGCTGCTGTAGAGAGGCCTGGGTGGGAAGTGATCTCAGAGGCTGCACTTACTCCAGTTTCTTGAAGCGCTCGCGGCCCGCAGCCACGTACTTGCCACCGGCCTGCAACGCGTCCAGCTCTAGCACCTGGTGGCCGCGCGTGGGCGTGTAGAGCCTCCGCACGCCGAAGGGCACGTCCACCTGCTCCGTCAGCTGCTCCAGCAGAGCCTCGAAGTTGGCGACGCGGCGCCGCGAGAACACGAACTTGCGGCCCACGTAGAACTGGTCCCCGTTGCGGTACACCAAGATGGTCTTGGCCGGCGTGGTGTCCACCAGCACATAGGGCCCGCGTGTGCCCATGGCCACTGCTCGCTCACGTCGGGACACGCAGAACCGTGCACGGGGCGGGGGACACCCAGCACACCCGCCGAGAACCCACGGGCTCCCTGGGGCTGCGGGCCACAGGCGGGACTGGGCTGCCAGGCCAGTGGGCCGTGAACCTGCAGCACACGCTGACGTCCTGGAGCGATTGTGACTGGGCTGGCAGCGGGGCGAGGAGCGACAGAGAGAGCCAGGCAGGCCAGGGGCGACTGACCAAGGACATGAAGGATGCAGAGAGGGGTTCAGAACACAGACAGGCGAGGACAGAAAAAAAAAAAAAGAGTGGGAGCAGCGGGAAGTTCAGAGAGTTCACAGGCATGGAACAGAGAAGCCCCCACAGGTGAGAACACAGACCTGGGAGGGGTATGACACACAGAACCAGGTCTGGAAGAATGCAGGAAGAAGAGGAAGAGCCTGGTGAGGTGGTGCTTGCCTCTAATTCCAGTACTTGGGAGATAGAGGCAGGAAGGTCTCTGTAAGTTTGAGGCCAGCCTGGAGGGAGTAAGGGGAACAGATAGGGAGGGGTGAGGGAGAGGGGGAAAGGGAGAGAGAGGGGGGGGAGAGAGGGGGAGAAAGAGAGAGAGAGAGGGAGAGGGGGAGAGGGAGAGAGAGGAGAGGGGAAGGGAGAGAGAGGGAGGGAGGGAGGGAGGGAGAGAGAGGGAGAGGGAGAGGGAGAGGGAGAGGGAGAATCTACGCACAATCAGTGCAGAAAATTGATTACTTTTAACAATCACCATTTTGTAGTGTTTTTCAAAAAAAAAAAAAAAAGTGCTTCTTCAGGAGGCAATCCGCCATTCCTAGCCATGGCCAGTTTTTAAGCTCCCAACTGGGTGGCAGCTGGAGACACAGACCCGTGAGTTGGGTGATCGCTTTATTGAACCACCAGGTGTTTGGAACACTGAGGACAGTGGGTGGATGATGACAAATTAAAGATTTGCCCTGAAGCCCAGAGAGAACCTCAGCATGGGCTTCTCCCGGAGGGGCCGCAGCAAACAGATGGAACTGGGGTAGCCCTTGAGCCGAAGGCGGCTTATGCCCCCATCCGGGGTGATGGTAATTCTGGCATGAGTGATGACATCCTGGAGCTCCAGGGTCAGGCTGTCCAACAGGTGATTTTGATTGGGAGATAGCTGGGGGGGAAAAAGGCAGATGCAAGGTCCTTGTAGGAGGATTGTGTATAACTCCCCCAGTGCAGTCAGTCGGGCCTGGCCTTAAGGGGCTTTAAGAAAAGTTTCTCAGTAATAATTTGGTATACCAGAAGTCTGCTAGTGGGGTAAGGCCACCCATGTGACAATGGTGTGCATGTTCAAGTGTCACGGTATTTCTTCATAAGTCGATGAACTAATCAAATGAAAGAGGAGGTCATCTGGTGTCTTCAGGGTGACATGGAGCCTCATCACACCCATGGTGACCACTTCCCTGGTCCGAGAAACTCTAGCACATCTCAGGGTGTCCATCCCACAGATGGGCACAGTATGACAACTTGTAGTGTGCTGGGCACCCTTCAGATATGTTAAATGTACTATAGGAACACATGCCTGTGTGTGCATTCTTAGCACATGATGGGTTTTGGTTTTGTTTTAACAAAATTTTGATTATTAGGCATGCAAAAGTCACAGAGTCCATCATCCTCTGTGAAAACATAGGTGTGGCTTTCCATAGTACATTCATTTTACTGTTAAACTGAGCAAAGACTTCTAGGAAAATTAATTTGAAAAGCTATAATCCTGGCTGCTCGGGAGGTAGAGACGGGATGATTACAAATTCAAGGCTGGCCTGCAAAACTCATCAAGACCCTGTCTTTAAAAGTAAAAAAGAGACTAGGGGTAAGAGTGGTAGGGAGATGTGTAGGGGTGGAGCTCAGCAGTAGGGAGGTGTGTAGGGGTGGAGCTCAGTGGTAGGGAGGTGTGTAGGGGTGGAGCTCAGTGGTAGGGAGATGTGTAGGGGTGGAGCTCAGTGGTAGGGAAGTGTGTAGGAGTGGAACTCAGCGGTAGGGAGGTGTGTAGGGGTTGGGCTCAGTGGTAGGGAGATGTGTAGGGGTGGAGCTCAGTGGTAGGGAGGTGTGTAGGGGTTGGGCTCAGTGGTAGGGAGGTGTGTAGGGGTTGGGCTCAGTGGTAGGGAGGTGTGTAGGGGTTGGGCTCAGTGGTAGGGAGGTGTGTAGGGGTGGAGCTCAGTGGTAGGGAGGTGTGTAGGGGTTGGGCTCAGTGGTAGGGAGGTGTGTAGGGGTGGAGCTCAGTGGTAGGGAGATGCATAGCATATACAAGATCCCAGGTTTCTCCAGAGACTGAGGGTCAGTCCTCAAACTGCCCCCCACGAACCTTGGTGACCGGAAGCAGTGGCTTCCACTTATGAGCAGGAAGATCCCACTTTTGCCTGATCATTTCTTCCTCTTCCTGCGTGGTCAGGATGCACCCATCCACTTTGCAGCTGTCGGGAGAATTGCCTGTTGGAACAAACAGAGACCTGGGAACGGTTTCCTTCAGCCTAGCTCAGCTTCTAGGATACAGGTAAGTTAATCAGATCAAAATCCATAAACAGCTGGGAAGACAGCTCTGTGGTAGAACACTTGCCCAGCATGTATGAGGCCCTAGGTTCGTTTCCCAGCACCACAAAACAGTAACAAAAATCAAGAACGTGTGTGTCCCTCTTCATGCAGTGGGGAGGAGCTTGGGCCTGCCTAAACTTGGTATGCCAGACTTTGTTGACTCCCCAAGGGAGCCCTTACCCTCTCTGAGGAGTAGATGGGGGGTAGGGTGGGGGGAAATGGGGGAAGTGGGAGAAGGGGAGGGAGGGGGAACTGGGGTTGGCATGTAAAATGAAAAAAATTAATAAAATAAATAAATATTAATTATTAATTTTAAAAAATCAGGAACAAGCCAGAGTTTCTTCCTAAGCAAAAAGTACAGTGTAGGAGAAAGGAAAGAATGGAACTGGACTGCCTTGTGGCATCCAGGATCGTGTGTGGTTCCTAGGAATGAGAAGCAGGCAGCCATGTGTTGGATGCATTCATACCTTGAAAGTTGGATGTAATAAGCACCACAGACTGCAAGCTGAATTGCTTGCTTACTGCTACGTAGCACCTCTGAGGTCATGATGGAGCTGGGAACTGCTTGCCTTACACTGTCACTTTGTAATGTGGCAAAACAAAGAAATCCTGGGGCTGGAGAGGTGGCTCAGTAGTTAAAAGTGCTTTACAACTGCCTCTATCTCCAGCTCCAGGGGGTCTGACCCCCATGTAACCACCATGGTTCCCTGCACAGTCACATCTACACATAAAAATAATAATAAATAAAGCTTTCAAGGGAAGAAAAAGACGAAGAGGAGGAGTTATAATTGTAGGCTACACTAAGGGGTGCTGAGCCCTAGTCAAACAATCTGGGCCCCAGGATTGCAAGGTGGTCTCCAGATGAAAGACTACAGCCTTGAGTCTCTCTTCTCTTTGGAACTTCATAAAATCATCTGCAAGCGTCAGAGGCCCTAGGGGAAGGGCCACATGATCTTGTGAGGAGTCCTCCAAGATGGAGATTCAGAGCCCTGGCAGAAGCCCCTCACTGCCTACATGGCCCGTTAGTGCTCATCTCCTGGGAAAGTAGCCTTGTATGTGGGTCATGTGTGAATGCAGGGAGAACACAAGCAGAACATCAGAGCTGCCGTGTCTGTCCATGACATGTGCACATGTGTGTTTACTAACCTGTGCATCCATGATTCAACAAAACATAACTTATTATATTATTGATACCAGGGGTATGGTCATACTCCCTCCCTCCTGGAGAGAGGATGACCACAGTGTCCCCAAGAGATGACCAGGGTCCAGCAGCTTATTTTCATGACCTATTTGAAGCACCAGTTAACAGGATTCATTGCTTGTTGACTAAACTCCCTCGTGAAAACAGTCTATCCCACACCTGTCATGAGGAGAACTGTGGACTAAAGATGCTATGAAATGTCAAGCATACACAAAAGAGCTGGCATATCACCTGCCCCTCGGGATAAGCTTGTCAGTCTCAATGATCAGAGAGAACAGAAATGCAATCTCTAATGAGGTCTTTCCACAGGACACCAACCTCTGACCCCCATGCAACTGCATACACACATACACACACACACACACACACACACACACACACACACACACACACCACCGGCTAAATAAATAAATTGCAGTCTGCCAAAAGGGAGCCAAAACTATAAAAACTTTTGAAAACACTTTATACCCACTAAGGAACCTGACCCTCATTGTACTATCAAGCCTTCATATAATCAGTATTAAAAATCATGATTTGGAAGTCATTCAAAAAACCAACTACCCAAAATATGAATATAAACTGCTACCATCTGTTATAAAGACAGCTAGACAATCATGAGATGCCCAATCCAATACTTTGATCATCTAACAGACACTTCCCTAGCCTCTTCAATTTTCTTAATATAGTGGGCAACATTTATAAGAAAGCAAGTACAGACTAACCTGGCTGCTGTCCAAATTCTTTTTACTACTAGATCCCCTCTCTGCTTTTCTCACATGCTCTTTGCTCCGAAGGAAGCCTGCCTCACAGCAGCCTGGAATCTCGTGTGTGTAATGGGCCTGGCTCTTTAAGTCACTGGCTCACAGCCTGGAGAGTCAAGACAAGCTCTGTCCTAGAGCTAAAACCCTTCTTCCTTTCATGGCTTTCAACAAGATGACCTTCAGAGCCACCCAGCCAACTAGGGCTTCTCGAGAGACACTCGATGACAGAATTAGAGTGAACCTCCTTAAAGCTGCATGGCTGAATGGGAAGGCCAACGCCTCAGCCGACTCCCACTGCACCTGTTACCTGCTCGGTGGACACACCAGCTGTAAGGTTCAGCCTGCCTTGAGGCTTACCTTTAAAGTACTTCGTATCGATTTCAATTTGGGTGATGACTCCAGGATGTGCCAATCGGAACACCGCCCACTCACAACCCGGGACCTGGAGAAGGCCGTTCTCATCATTCTGGAATTAAAAAGAAACAATGAGTCGTAAGCCAACTTGGACTCAAGGAGGCCAACCTAAACACCAGCAGGAGGAGTTGACATCTCGTCCCATGCTTACTACAAACAAGCCAAGTTTGGTGGCTTGATACACATCTGTAATCTCATCACTTGGGTGAGAGAAGTCAGAGGTTCGAGGCCAGCCTGGCTACCTGGGACCCAGTCAACACACACACACACACACACACACACACACACACACACACACACACGCACGCACACACGCACGCATGCCCGCAATACAATTTCTATGCTGGTAATAAGTTCATGAAGAGTGCTCCAGACACAAAGATGCTGACCTACTTCAGCTCGTGGGTCCTCCAAACTGTTTGACCTTCCAAAGCAAGTACTCTCCTAATTATCATCCTTTCTGATGATGATTGGCCTCCAAACCTTGCTTCTCTGGAAGGAAGGGTCTATTTATGTCTGGAAGGCCTGGATGGCAGGAAGTCAGACCCCAGAGAGAGGAGCAGCTGTAAGTTTTCAATGGCAAAACAAATGTGGTTTTGGTTTGATTTGGCTGAGGTTTAATTCAACTGTTGACTTGGTTCTAACATCCTCTGTGGGTCACAGGCTCACCTAGGCCATCTCGCTCAGGGGAACATGAACCTTAAAAGTTATTAAACCAGTGTTTCCTCCAGGCTTTCCAACAAATTCACTCTTTTGCACCATTAACCTGTGCAAAGATTCTGGGGGCCCAGCAAGACAGCTCAGCAGATATAGACACTTGCTACCAGGCCTGAGTTCAGTCCCCCAGATCTTCATGGTGGAGGGAGCAAGCCAATGCTGACAATTAGTTAATGAAATAATTAATTAAAATGAGAAAATAAACTTTAGATTCTTTTCTTTCTTTAGCAAATAAATGGAACAGTCAAAAAGATTTGACAAGAGCAGCCAACAAGGCACGTTTAGTCTTCTGGTAAAATTTAGTGTACTACTGCACTAGGTAGAATTGTGGAAATACAGCAGAAAATTTAAAAAATGTAAAAAATAGTAACAAAAACTTGGACTATGGATTACAGGGGTTTGTTGGTTTTGGTTTGTTCTACTTTGGGATGTTCTGTCTGCTTGTGTTTCGAAACACATGGTCTTATGTAGCCCAGAACGGTCCTATTGTTGTGGTATATTATTTTAACTAGGCTAAGATGTGTTACATTTGTTTATGCTGCAGAATATTACTTTGACCATGTAAAAGTGTGTTACTTTTGTTTATGCTGCATTTGTTTAATGATGTAAGGATGTGTGTTCAATTATGTAAAGATGTATTGCATTTGTTTCACCTTGCCTGCCTAAGGTACCTGATTGATCTAATAAAGAGCTGAATGACCAATAGCTAGACTGGAGAAATGATAAGCAGAGCTAGTGGGCAGAGAGAATAAAAAGGAGGAGAAATCTAGGCTTGAGAGAGAAGGAGGAGGAGGAGGAGGAGGAGGAGGAGGAGGAGGAGGAGGAGGAGGAGGAGAGAACGAGGGAGATGCCCCAGGGATAGAAGCCAGGCAGACACCAGACAGACAGACATAGAGACTTCAGGAAAGTAAGAAAAGGTAAAAAAAAGTCCTGAGGCAAAAGGTAGATAAAGAGAAATAGATTAATTTAAGTTAAAAGAGTTAACCAGAAACATGCCTAAGCTAAGCCAAGCATTCAAAATTAATAATATGTCTCTGTCATGATTTGGGAGCTGGTTGATGGCCTAAAAGAAAAAGCATGGTATACCCTGTGGCTTCCCTGGTTCTGTTTCTGCTGCTATAACATTCTGACAGAGAGCGGTACAGGGGAAGAAGACAGAGTTTAGTGGGCTGACAATTCCAAGTCACCATCCAGCGTCTCGGGAAGTCAAGGCAGGAACTCCATCAGGTAGTCACATCACATCCATCCACAGTCAAAAGCAGAGAGAAATGAGTGTAGCCATGCTGCCTGCTTGTCTAATGTTCTCACCTTCTCTGCTCTTACAGGACCCAGGGACCCAAACCAGGGAATGGTGCTACCCACATGATCTAGGTCTTCCTACACCAATTAACAATCAAGACAATCCCCCCAGTGACATGCCCACTGGCCGATCTGGTCTAGATCATTCCTAAGACTCTCTTCCCAAGTGACTCTAGGTTGTATCAAGTTGACAGTTAAAATTAATGACAAAAGTAACTAAGGATGGCTTTGAACTCCTGATCCTCCTGCCTCTACCTCCCCAGTGCTGGGATTACAGCCATGCACATCATACCCTAATGAAGGCTCCCTAATGAAGTGCAGTTTTCCTTGATGTAAAGTGAAAGAAGTGTTTTTAAACCTTTTCTAGAAAACCTCAGAACGACAGTTGTTGCTGATCTTACTTCTAACACAGGGGGTCTGTCCAGCCTCCTCGCAGTTTCCCAGCCGTCTGCCATGGACCTGGGCTTGCCAACACCTACAGGAAATAGCTGGGGTTAATGGAGGGACCTTTGATTTAATTTGAATGTGGGAAAGGATTTGCTATCATTAAATTTCAATCCCATAATCCCAAGTATCGCTACATAAATTCATTTCAATGGAGTTGATATTTCAGTGAATTCACAGCCATGGGGTTGACTGGTTTTGTTTTTATTATTTATAGCAGCTACTTAGGCCAAAATTAAGAAGGACCATGACTCTTACTGACCCATTCCACATCACAAAGGCATCTAGTGACCCCCATTCTCCGAGAGAGTCCCCACCCCCACCCCGGGCATCACTCTGGCCATGCCCAGCTTTCAATGCCAGCGCCCACACATGGACATGAAGGCTGGCTCCTGGGATGTCCTCTCACCTATCATATTATTTGGATGACCAAAGTGCGCATTACTAAATCCTACACAGACTCCCCCAAAAGCAATGGCCACAAGGTCTACAGGATCCTTGGCGCCCGATGAAGTCCAGTCCCTCTGTCCAGTACCGTACACTCGGAGGCGTGCGATGCCACCATCTGAGAAGGGAAGGTGTCTGTGTTAGCTGGGAGAAGCTGGTTTCTGGGGTATCGTGTTCCCTGGGGCCTGCCGGCCTTGGCCCACCTCCTTTCCTACTAGTTTTACAACACAGTAAGCCCTCTTCTGCCCGGGCCCCTGCAGTAGACACTGCTCGGCACCTGAGCAACCTCTCAGGCCGCCAACACTACTTGTCATTCTTGGCCCTCGAGTGCCAGGGTTCTAAAAATGTCTTCACTCATCTTCCGCACACGTCTCCCTCCCATCCACTAGGCCCCTGTCTGACTCACCAGCAAATGTTATCACGTCTCCCTTCTCCTTTACTCCATTGCTGTAGTCATAGCCTGAAGTTACCTTTTTTGTTTTGTTTTCACGTTTTAAGTCTCTGCTAATATTGATGCCACAGACACAGAGTATAAAATCCCTGGAGGGCAGACCAGTTACAGAGTGTGTCACATCCATGAAGTTCCCAGTATGTGGTAGAACACCAGCTTCCTTATTAAACTGTTCCAGAAAAATCAAAATCAACTGGACGTTTGTCGTATAATATGTTTGGGGGCAGGAGAGGTGGCTTGGCAGTTGAGAGCACTTGATGTTCTCCCAGGGGACAGGAGTTCAGTTCCCAGCATTCACGCTGAGTGACTCACATCCACCTACCTGTATCTCCAGCTCCAGAGGATCCAATGCCCTCTTCTGGCCTCTGTGGGTACTTGCACACATGTACACACACACACACACACACACACACACACACACACACACACACACACACAAAGAAAACTCTTTTTTTTTTTTAGTATTTGGCATCAGAAGCCAGCACCGCAGATTCCAACACCAACTCACACCACGCTGCTCTACAGTGCATCCGAGACACAAGGTGATGATCCTCTGAAAACCTGCTTGCTGCCGAGAAGCGCGGCCTGACATAAGACAAGCATGGAAGCAAACGGCCACCCGGATCCACTCACAGCCCCTGAGCATCACAAACGAGCCTGCTCCTTCGTCTGGATGTGGCTTTCTGGAGAGCAGCAGCCAAGCAGTTTTTGCAAAGAAGTTCCTATCATATGACTAAACGCTGAATCTGAGCCCCATATATTTTGACATTGGAAAAGAACTGGTGCCCGATGTAGAGCTGCAGGCCTTTAATTCCAGTCCTCAGGAGACTGAGGCAGGTGGATCTCTGAGTTTGAGGCCCCAGGATAGCCAGAGTTACAGAGAAACGCTTTCAAAATCCTCCCCCGACAAAAAAAAAAGAAAAAAAAGGTGAAATTGAGTATTCTGAAAATATTCTGATAACGAGTGAATATCTTTGTTTTCAACCTATTAAACCAGACTTTGAGGTCATGAAATCTTAGAAAAGCAAGAAGGGCTAACCCAGCAAGAGGAGGAGCAAGATGGAGACTCTGCTGCTCTGGCACCCAGATGTGGTGCTTCACTTCAGCATTAAGATATCTACCTCCCAGCTTTACCCTTCCAAAGTAAGGTTTCTCTTTATAGAGTTAATATCCAGCCACACCTTGGAAATAATGAAGCATCTCAAAACTGCCTCTTCATCCACTGTGACTCAGTGACAGTGTCCTGGTATGTTACTATTCCTGTCCCTTTCAAAACTGTATCCCAGGTAGAACCGTCACCAAACAGTAGGGATTGGGTGAACAGGCAGGAGAAATCTCACAGGCAACATCCAACCCTCACCTCCCACCGGGCAGTAGACAAGGGCCAACCCTCTGGATCCAAGCCAGCAAGGCAAGGATTGCCCTGTGAAATGTCTGAGACATTCCTTCAGCTCTTAAATGTCATGTAAGTTAGATTGAACACATGAAGTTGCTGTTTTGGCATGCCAAAAATAGAAATTTCCTGGGACTGGAAGAATAGCTCAGCAGGTGAAGGTGATTGCTGCCAAGCCTAAGAGAGGACCTGAGTTCAATCCCTAGAGCCCACGTGATGGAGAGAAGCAATTCAAGTTGTTTTCTGACCACCACACTCATGTCAGACACCATGCACAGGCATATACACAATTGCAGTTTTTTAATTATTTTTTTAAGCATCATTCTGTCAAAGTCATCATACCTGATCTCAAATTATGCTACAGAGCCACAGTAACAAAAACTGTGGCATTGGCACAAAAACAGATGTGCAGGCCAGTGGAATAGAAGACCTGGAAGTAGATTCAGTTGCAAACACTTGATTTTGACAAAAATTTCAAAAGCAAGCAATGTTAAAAAAATAAATAAATAACATACATCCTCTTTAAGAAATGGAGCTGGAAACCCTAGAAAAATGAAATTATCTCCATATCTCTCACCTTGCACAAAAATCAGTTCTAAAAGGATCAAAGACATCAGGGTAAGACCTGAAACTATTAGAGGAGAGCATTTCACGAAATGTGCATAGGCATAGAATTCTGAAAAGAGCTCCATTAACACAAGAAATAACCTCTAGAACTGACCAATGGAATCACATTTTTAAAAGCTTCTGCATAATCAGAAAGAAGATACAGTCTACAGACACGGGGAAACGTCAACCATACATCAGACTGGGGATCAATGTCTAGAATATACAAGGAAAATATGGATGAATAAAACCAAACTATCCGTCAGAAATGGGCTGAACTGAAGAGATGACTCTCAATATCTGAAGTGTTCGTCGTCCTCAGCTATCAGAGGAATGCAGATTAAGACGCCTTAGAGATCCCAGCTTACCCCCATTTAGATTGTCTCTCATCAAGAAAACAAATGATTGACAGAGACAGTTTTCCAAAGAAAATATACCCATGACCAATACACACGCAAAAAGTTACCATCATTGGTGTCCAAGGAAATGCAAATCAAAACAGCAAGACAGCATTTCACACCCACCAGGTGACTACGACAAATAAGATTCCTGGCACTGGAGGGAACTGAAGGAGTCAAAAGCCTCGTGCATGGCTCCCATTTGAGAAATGTCTAGAATTTCTCAAATCCTCAAGCACAGAGTTACCATATGACCCAAAATGTCAATTTTAAGTATATACTAAAGACAGATGGAAACAAACACACACACACACACATACACGTTTGAGATGGAGAAATGATTCAGTGGCTAAGAGGACTGGCTGCTCTTCCAGAGGACATGGGTTCGATTCCCAGCACCCACATAGTGACCCACACCCATCTGTAACTCCAGTTCCAGAGGATCTGATGCCTTTGTCTGGCCTCCCTAGGCACACAAGACATACAAGTAGGCAAAACACTCACATACACAAATTATTTTAAAATTATTTCATAAGTGAACATTAACAACATTATTCATTATATCCAGCAGGTAGAAACAAATGTCTACCAACTAATAAACAGATATATAAATGTGCTCTAACCATAAAATAGAATGTCATTTGGCACAAGAGGAATGAAGCACCCCTGCCTGGCACAACCAAGAGGACTCTTGAAAGCATCATGCTAAGTAAAAGAAGCCAGAGGAACAGATGACCAGTAAAACACGATTCTTTTGGGTGTAAAAAGGTCAAATCTCTGAACACCAAGTGTATATTGATGGATAGGGTTAGAGAAGGTGAGGGGCAATTGCTGGAGAAACGGAACCCAGAGCCTTGTGTGTGCTAGCCAAGTATTCTGCCACTGGGCTACAGGTGCAGACTCAAGAATTGCATTTCTTTCAGAGCTAATAAAATATCCCAGCTTTAACTGTGCTGCCTGTATCTGTGTTTATACTTCAACTGTAGACTTCAAATGGATGAATCCTATGTTATTGTGACATATTGCTCTAAAGCTCCCACATAAGAAAAAATAAAATAGGGACTGGAGAGATGGATTAGTGATTACAAGCACTTGCTGCTCTTCCAGAGGACCAGAGTTCAGTTCCCAGCACTCACAACTGCCTGGAACTCCAGCTCCAAAGGATCTGACCCCCTCTGAACTCTTCAGGCACCTGTACTCACACATACGTGCATACAGAGATACACACACATGCACATAAGTAAAAAATTAAAATAGAATAATGTGTGTATACTACCTCAACTTTTAACATACTTGTGAAATGAAAGTCAGGGAACATGGAATTCCAGCACAGCTCAGTCCCAGCACACCTTAACTTGACATCTTTTTTCTGTTTGTTTTTTGACACAGAGTTTCTCTGCATAGCTCTGGCTGTTCTGGATCTCGCACTGTAGACCAAACTGGCCTTGAACTCACAGAGGTCCACCTGTCTCTGCCTCCCGAGTGCTGGGATTAAAGGCATGTGCCACCACCGCCTGACTAAACTGATCCATTTTCATTAACTAACCATTGGTGAGTAGAGTGTCAGTTTCTTGATACACAAGACAAATCACAATCCTAAAATATACCAAGTTCAAATTACCAGGAAAAGATGGCTTATTTTTATGTTTCATAAACATGAAATTACAAGATAAAAAGGCTGCACACTCATCAAAGATCCCTGTCACACATACCTGGGAAGATGTTGAGTCTTATGTGAGTCCATCTCTGCTGGGAATTGACCAAAAAATAGTTGTGGCTGGAGTCAGGGTCCCCTGGCTTAAGCTCTGACATGGGAACCAGGTACTCCCAGGAGTCTGATTTTAGCTAATAATAAATACAGAAACATCAGCACTGGGTCTTGAGAGCAATGCACTCTTATCCTATGCAAGGATCAGGAGAGGAGATTATGATAGTTGCTGAATGACACGTGTTAATAATCATAAACTCTGGGTTGGGGATCTTTTTCCCCACACTGATAACAATTAGGTGATGGTGACGGGAGCTTGTAAATGTACAAGCTTTCAGATGCCTTCTTCTTGATTCTTAAAAGAAACCAGAGCGGCGATGTGGGCATTCAGCTAAAACCCAGGACTCTGAGGCTGAGGAGATGGCAGGCTGAGCCCGTCTCAGAAAGCTGGCTCGTTCGCTGTTCCCCATTCGCCACAGATCAACACATTTGTAACCGCACAAATTAATTACTGGACAAACTTAACACAATCAGAAGGCGCCGAGCACAAACCCCATTTGTTTATCTTAATAAATTCACCAAAAGTTACTTGGTCAGATCACTACGGGAGTTTAATGTGGAAGGTTCCCCAGCAGGGTCAGCAGCAATATACAGCCACGGGCAGTGCCCGCTGACCCTTCACGGTGTGAACAGCCAGGTCGTTCTCCCACACAGAGGGGAATGAACACGGAGGGAACCTCTGCGCTGCCACACCGTGTAGGTACAAGAGGCCCAGGATGCCTGGCGGTACATCCCAGACAATTGCCTCATACAGCCAGGCCTGCAACAGTCTGTTCCGCAACCCCAGGCACACAGAACCAGCGTCTCACCTCGCTAATGACTCCAAACTCCTCAGGTGTCGCTGCAGCTCCTGTCTTGACTCCTCTTGGTGGGATGTCTGGCACTTTTTCTGAAATCAAAACAACCACACAGCATCAGGGTTGAGAAGCAAAGAGGACACACTCTCTCAGGAGGTTATGTGGCGATTTTCATCTGCCCAACAGCCCTAAAGACATCCTTGCTTTGGACACAGAATCACTGGTTAGAGGCTAGCAGACTGACTGGAGTGTTCTTCACTGTTCAATTTGCTAACTCATTTCAGAGGACAGTGGAATACACTGGTGCCACACTGGCTCATCATTTCAACTTAGGTCAAATTCCATAGATCAATAACTTCTTTGAGTTCAGAATATGGCAAAGTTAGTCCCAGAAGAAGCTCTACCTTCCCCTGGCATCTGCCTCAGACTCAGCATCCACAGACAGTCAAAGCAGAGCTCACATGAGTTCCATCTCTCAGACCATCATTAACTTCCCAGGAGGCTGGTCACCTAAGGACAGTAGGGCCTGCTCACCTGTGTGGAGCCTGATGTGGTACGGTGCACACAGTATTTTTTTAGTATCAGTGTATCCAGTAACACAGTTTATCCTCCCTAAAAATGTGTGTGCACACATGTGACCATGTAGTAACTAATTCAGTTGTCAATGACAGATCATTGCAAGTAAACTATGAAATCTGCATAAGCCACAATATCCAGTGTTCCCAGAGGTAGAAAGGGGCCTAGCCTAAGAACCCTGGAGCTGCTGCACCGTGGAGACCCTTCTGGAGCTGGAAGTGGGCTGGAGCTACTCCTCTGCAGTTATCTTAGTCTTGGCTCCAACCATCTGACCCTCTGAGGCACAGCTCACTGCTCCCACCCTCCCCAGAAACCAGCTCAGCAAATGCCTTGCGCACACACGAGAGAACACTCAAGCTCTGTGGGGAATGATGGTCACTATATGGGACCAGCAAATGTAGTTAAGCCAAACATCAAAAACTTCAGGGCAGCCCATCATAACCTACTTCATAGGCTCCATGGAAGTCCCACAACCTCAGAACATTGGCACATTTGCTGCACAGGAAATGTTTACAGGAAAATTAGCATCCAGCTGAGTCGGAGGTGCCTGCAGTCCCACACTCCTCCCTGGAGACAGTGGCTCCTACGTACCTTCATTCAAGTTTGCTGCTTGAATTGACACGCGGGGAGCATAGCTCCCTGAGAAGTAAGAAATGTCCACGTCGATGCCACGGATAATGCCCTGTACCCCCAGCTGGATGACACACCAGTCATGACCTGTACAACAGGACCACAAGAATGCCCATGATGTGTAAGACGAATTTCTAAACGGTCTTATTAAGAAAAAAAAACAAAACCCGGAGCCAGATATTGGGGTGAAAACTGAGAGATCAGAGGAATAGGACAAACCACAGCCAGCCTCGCCTTACCAACTCCTCAGCCTCCAAAGAGACCTACTCCTGTATACCCATGCCTATATGCCTTTCTGATCTGCCATCACACTTCCTCTCTCTTCCCAGCTACATCACTTCCTGTCTGTACAGACCTCCAGACCTCTATGGTTAGTGCTGGGATTAAAGGCATATGTCACCACACCTGGCTCTGTTCCCAGTGTGGCCTTGAACTCACAGAGATCCAGATGGATCTCTGCCTCCCAAATGCTAGGATTAAAGCCGTGTGCTACCACTGCCTGACCTCTATGTTTAATCTGGTGGCTGGCTTTTTCCTTGGACCTTCAGATAAGCTTTATTAGGGTGCACAATATATTGGAGAACACAATTCATCACCACAATGATGTTCCATGGGGGAGTGCAAGAGTACCCATGAGGTCCCATGGGGGATGAGAACACCTATGAGGTCCCATGGGAGATGAGGAGAGCACCCTTGAAGTTCCACAGGGGAAATGACAGAAGCTATGAGGCCCCATCATCTTCCACCACAGAAGCACATGTTCAGGGTGATTCTCATAATGTGGCCAACAAGGACCACCATGATCCATAGGGTCTTCAATTCTAATCAAACCAGAAAATGCACAGACCTTGGATTCAGAGACATCAACTCGATTTCTAAGCCCATCCCTTCCCATTATTATGCTGGACAAATTGCAGGACAAATCTCTATGAGGCTCATTTCTTTAACTCTAAGTCAGGGAAAAGACATTAACTTCTGAAAGCTTCAGTGGGGCCATTGATGTAGAAACCCCCAGCCTGGCTCTTCTGCAAACTTATTCTCTACTATTTTAGAGTTCCATATAGTCTCCATTCCACCCAATCCCCCAGTGTGCCCACATGTACCTACCAAGCCTTCAGGATACTGGTCTTACAGCAGACCACCACTCCAGATTCTCATGTAGTCCAGGCTTAAACTGGCTATAGATCCAGGAATGAATTACCCTGAGCTCCTGATCTTCTTGACTTCACCTCCAGGGCTGGGATTATAGGCATGCCCCCACCACACCTGGTTTAAATGGTGCTAAGGGTCAAACCCAGGGCTTCCTGAATGCTAGGTGTGGTGGTTTGAATGGAAAGTGTCTCCCATAGGCTAAGGCATTACAACACTTGGACCCCAATTGGCAGTGATATTTGGGGAGGCTCAGGAGGTGGGACCTTCGTAGAGAAACATGTCACTGGAGAGGGGCTTTGAGGGTTTGAAGCTACTTCCATTTCTCTCTCTCTGCTTTGTGCATGCTGTTAAAGATGTGATCTCTCGGCTTCCCGCTCCTGCCACTCGATGCCTCTTGCTGTTGTGACTCCCCACCATGATGGACTCTAGCCCTCTGAAACTGTAAGCCCAAAGAAACTCTTGTCTATCTGTTGCCTTGGTCACATTATTTTATGACAGTAATTAAAAAACAACTAATACACTAGGCAAGCTCCCTACCAGCTGAGCCTTATCCCTAGCCCCAAGCAGCCACCATCTCTAAACTTCACAGTGTAGGATGAACATTCACACACACACACACACACACACACACACACACACACACACACATACACACACCTTACCTGGAATCCGCTTCCGCCTGGTCTCCCATCCATCCATCCATTTCCCAAACTGGGTATATTCATGTTCCTTAAAACTCGGACTACTGCTCTAAAAAAAAAAAGATGGACAGGAGATCATTAATATTCATGAAGAGCCTGGGTCATCAGCCTGTCAGGTGGTGTTGCAAAGAGACAAGGACTCACTGGAAGCATCTGCCCCACCTTCATGCCCAGCTCTACCACCGAGACCAAGAGGTGCCTCCGTATTCTGTACCATCTGAGAGTAGAACTCTTGTCTGTGATCCTCCGTCCACAGAACGAAGCCCTATCAGCCACAGAGGAGACCACACGCGGGCGCCACGAATCCTTCCCCCTCTGCTGTGTCTAGGTGGGCCCTGAGCAAAGTGGATCAGGTCAGTCACACTTCCGAAGCAATGAAAGAGACCGTGATCGGAGAGCCCACTGGAAGCTCGGGGTCAGGATAGACACTGGCGGTCTTGTGCTGTAGGTGCATGCCACCACTTGTGGGAAAGAAAGGACTCCTGGTGGCTGCAATGCCAGCTCAGGCTCTTAAAATGAACCATTGAGAAATCTGCTTCACCCTTGAGAACCAGGGTGACTGCAGAGCCTCAGTGGAGTGGGGTGACATTGAAATGATTCATGGACAACCTCTCACGGAGCAGTTCATGAGCTCCCAACCTGGGGCCTGTGGGGCAGACTCACCCCCATACCTCAGTTTCCTTCGTGGGTCAAAGGCAGGTGATTGTTGTGGGATGGTCTTTCTGTACGCTGTGTATATGTGTTACTACCATTGGTTAATAAAGAAGCTGCCTTGGCCTGTGGCAAGACAGGTTACAGCCAGGCAGGAAATCCAAACAAAGATACGCAGAGAAGAAAGGCAGAGTCAGGGGAGATACTGCGAGTCGCCGGAGGAGGAAGATGTAATAGAAGACAGGTAAAGCCATGAGATATGTGGCAATAGATAGATTAATAGAAATAGGTTAATTTAAGATGTAAGAGCTAGCTAGTAATAAGCCTGAGCCATAGGCCAAACAGTTTGTAATTAATATTAAGCCTCTGAGTGATGATTTTATAAACTGAACAGAGAAAAGGCTCCAGCTGAAGGTGATATTAGTGCTTTTTCGCAACAAAGACCATCATGGACATGGAGACATGCCAGGCTACATAAGAAGTGCCCGTGCTTAAAGATGTATAGATTCTGGCAACATGTTTATTAACTTTATTAACAGATTGAGCATCCTTGATCTAATCATCTAAAATATTCCAAAGTCCTCACACTCCAGGGTGATAGGAGGAAAAAGTACTTACTGTGTAGAAAGGGTAACAATTAACATATTTGAAAAAAAAGACCCTAGGCTGGCCCTGGGGTTTTCTCACAGTCCAGAGCCTGCTCTACAATGAAGGACGCATAGTTAAATGTGACCCACTGAAATGTGCATGGACAGGAAAAAGGACAGTGACAGCCACACAGCAGTGAAGAGGAGGGCCTGGGTCTGCAAGGACCACGGGAAAAGTTGAGTCATTGAAAAGAGTCCAGTTCCAGAACGTCAGGTACTTAAGACATGTAAACATTAATAAATACAAAGCGTACCATATACTTATAGATACAATTGCTTTAAAGTATAAGATGCACCAGACTTTTCTGTTATGGACTGAATGTTCATGTCTCCAGATTCCTGTGTTGAAACCCCCAAACCATGAGATGGTTGTGAGAATGTGGGGGCTTGGGAGTGATTTGGTCACAAGGGAAGAATACATTACAGTTTAGATGTTAAACACTCCCAAAGGCCCAGGTGTAGTGGGTAGCTGGTCCAGCTTTGACCTGGAAATACCACATCCTTTTGAGGCTTTAGTAACTGTCACACCTACAAGGCAGAGCCAAGAGAGAACCCTGAAGACCCGGGATCCAGATGGGGGAGCTCTCTTGGTTCCTGGACCCAGGACGCTGGAGGTAGACTGAGCAGAGTTTTCCAGAGAACATCACTGGACTGTGCTTCACCTTTCCCAGACTCTGTAACCTATCCCTTCACTTATAAGTTACCCCACAAAATAAACCTCCCTTTTAACTATGTGGAGTTGCCTTAATATTTTAACCAATACCCGGATATTAAGCAAAAGCTTAATCCTTGGCTTTGCACATTGTGAGGCAGTGGAACTCAGAGGTGGAGCCTAAAGAGTCTCCTGGAGGTGTTGGTGGAGGTACTAAGAATGTCCTGGCCCCTTCTCTTCCATCCCTAGGTTGCCCTCAGGTGAGCGGCCTCCACTGCTCACTCCCATCCTGGTTTTCTATGCTGCCACAGGCCCAGAGCAACAGGCCAATGAGCCATGGATGAGACCTCTGAAGCCACGAGGCAAAAATAAGCTTCCCTCTTTAAAAGCTGGTTCCTCTCTGGTACTTGCTACAGAGTGGGAAGCTGACTGGCCGAATCCCTCACGATGGAACGGGACCCTGTAAGAAGAGTTGAGCATCCGTTCTGTGCCTTGGTGTTGGGTGTCTGGCCTCCAAGCTGTGGGAACACATGTTTGCTGTGGAAGTCTCATGTGTGTGTGTGTGTGGTGCTGACATCAAACAATGACAGACACTACCGCTCAGTGTGTCCACTCTACCGAAGGAGAGTAAGGAGTGGGCTGTAACTGATGAGTGAATGGGGCCTTAGCTGTGTTACCAGCCTATCTCTCTCCCTACCTCAAAAAGAAGAAAAATAAAAAAATCACCAGGCACGATGGTGCACACCTATAATCCCAGCACTCAGGAGGCTGAGGCAGGAGGGCCGCCACAGACTTGAAGCCAACTTGGGCCATATAACATCAATTCCAGGCCTGGGCTATGAGGGAGATTTTCAGATTAAAAACTAAGAATAAAAAAATGTAAAATATATACCGAGTGTTTTTAAATGGGACTAGATTTGCACATGCATGTTGGTATGAGGGCACTGTTTGCATGTACATGGATACACTGCAATGTAAAATCAAAGAAACAAGGCCCCATTCTCTCACCCACCCACCCACCCAAACCCATCTCTCGGGTTTAGTGTGGCATGTAGCCTTCAGGCCCTGTGTGCTCCTACTCTCCTACATGGCCTCTGCGTGGACCCACACTCATTCTCAGGGACTCTCACGGAGTGTATGTCTGGAAGAGCCATGCTCCTGATCTAACTCCCTGGTGGTTTCCATTTAGGCTGATTTTTCTCCCGCTCCAAATACCAGAATGAATATTTTCTGTGTCTGTTTGCCTGGTGTGCAAACAGCACAGATCTGAGTGAGTTAGGTCAGGGTGGACACACTGAGCTCTCTCGGAGAGGAGAGCACATCATGAGATGCTAGAACCCTGGCATTTACTCGCCTGTGACACGAAATCTCTAGCTCTCATTTTATTTGCATTTTCTCCTGAGTAAAAATTCAGGTGATACACGGACCGTGCCTTCGGAAATAAGTGAGTCACGTGCACTGAGCGCAGCCAGGTCCTGCTCTGACACACCAGCAATCTCTAGGGACCTCTGACCAAGGCTGAAGGGGCCATGCCGTCACACCCACCGACCACGTACCCCTGGGTTTCCCTCCTCACACCTAAGAGCCCTCATGCCTACATGGGTGATGAGACAGCGGGGTTCTCAGCACTGTGGGTTCTCTGTATTTATCTACTTTAGGGGCTGCCTTTGGGGGGGTGCATTCATGGTGTGTGTGTGTGTGTGTGTGTGTGTGTGAGAGAGAGAGAGAGAGAGAGAGAGAGAGAGAGAGAGAGAGAGAGAGAGAGAGAGTCTATGCACGTGCTCTTGTGTGTGAAGACTACAGATAGACACCTGTGTCTTCTTTAATCACTCCCCACTTGTCTTTTGAGGCAGGTCTCTCTCACTGAACCTGGAGATCACCAATTAAATGGGACTGGCTGGCCAACAAGACCCAAGAAACCTCCTGTCTCCATGTTCCCAGGCTGGGATTATAGGCGCGTGCACCTACCTCTGTAGCTGGTTTCTTTGTGCGTTCTGAGGATCCAAACTCAGAATCCTTACGCTCACACAGCAAGCACCTTATCCACTGAGCCGTCTCCCAAGCTCTATTTGTCCACAGTTCAGTTTTTGTTTTTATTATTAATAGTGTGTGGGTGTGGTGTGTGTTCACGCACGCGATAGAGGTGAGCCATGGCGTGTGTGTGGAATCAGCAAATAGCTTTCAAGAACTGGTTCTCTGGTTCTAGGGTTACAGGGATTCAACATAGGTCTTCAGGCCTATGAAGCAAGTACTTTACATGCTGAGTCATCTCCCAGCCCCACTGGCCCACTTTTTAACCAAGAATACCCTACCTATTGTACTTAAAAAGAAATTCCCCAAAATTCAAGATGCGTCTATTTTCTTCCAAGCCCAGGACATGGGATCCACATTAGTTAAGGGGCATACTCAGTGACCTCAGCTTTTCCCCCTTGGCATCCGGGCCCTCCCTTCCTCTCCTGGCTCCGCCTGTCTCTGTATGTTCCCTGGGAGCTGGTGCTGAATCAGGCGCCTTTCCAGGGGTCTGATCCTTCCTGCCCAGTCCACACCACGTGGCTTCTGCCCCAGATATGCCCATAGGTTTCGGTGTACATGGCTGCAGAGCTTCAGCTAAGCCAATCATTCACCATACAGGATGCCTGGAACCATACCTTTATGAGGTTTTCTGCAGGGGCGAAAAAGTCATCCGTCGCAAACAAAACCTGGACAAAGAGAAGAAAGGAATCAACCTACCACCCAGCTATATCACTCTTGGGCATCTACCCCAAGGATGCTCAGTCACACCACAAGGACATTTGCCCAACCATGTTCATAGCAGCTTTATTTGTAATAGACAGCACCTGGAAACAACCTAGATGTCCCTCAACCGAGGAATGGAAAAAGAAAATGTGGTACATTTACACAACGGAGTATTACTCAACTGTTAAAACAAGGATACCAGGAAATTTGAAGGCAAATAGATAGAACTTAAAAAAAAATCATCCTGAGTGAGGTAACCCAGACTGAGAAAGACAAACATGATATGTACTCATTCATAAGTAGATATTAGCTATAAAATAAAAGATACCTATGCTACAATCTACAGAACCAGGCAGACTAGGTAACAAGGAGAGTTCATGAGGGAACACCCAGATCTCCCAGAAACAGAGATTTTGAGAGTGGACTGAGGGCAGGTGAGGATGGGAACATGAGCGATCAGGTTGTGGGGGACAGAGGGGGAGTGTTCTCCGGGGGACTGCTGCGGGGGGGGGGGGGGTGGTGCATTTCAGGGTCAGGCAAAAGCCTAGTGCAGGGGAATCTCCCAGGAGTCTATGGGGAAGACCCCAGCTTAGACTCCTAGCAATAGCCGATAAGTAGCCTGGACTGGCCATCTCTTGTCACCAGATTGGTGCCTGGCCTGATTGTCAACAGAGAGGTACCATCCAGTGACTGATGGAGGCAGATGCAGAGACCCACAGCCAGACATTAGGTGGTGTTCAGGAATCCTGTGGTAGAGGAGAAAGGAGTGTAGAGCCAGAGGGGTCAAGGACACCACGGGAAGGCTCACACAACCAACTAACTTGGGTTCACAGGGACTCACAGAGACTGAATCAACAACCAGGGGGTCTGCGTGAGACTAGTCACTCTGCATATATGTTACAGTTGTGTAACTTGGTCCTCTCGTGGGATTCCTAATAGCAGGAACAGGGGCTCTCTCCAACTTCTACTGGCTTTAATTCTTTTTACTCCCCTACTCCTCATACTGGATCGCCTTCCCCAGCCTTAATACATAGGGAGGTCCTTAGTCTTACTGCAACTTGATATGCCATGTTTTATTGATGCTCATGGGAGACCTGCCCTTTCCTGGATGGAGATGGAAGAGAAGGGGATGGGGGTGGGGAGTAGGAGAGAATGGAAAAGGGCTTGGGAGGGGAGGATGGGGGGAGGCTGCAACAGGATGTAAAACAAATAGATGAATAAAAAATTAAAATAAACAGTCAAGATGAAATTACTGTAAGTTAATAAAACACACTTTATTCCCTCCTCTAGAGAAACGTTAAGGAATGCATTAAAACGAATACATGAAATTGCCTCAGGGAAGAGACAGTGCAGTTCCCCTACCAAGCATTTGGCTCTCAAGCCTGCCTCCTCCTGAACCATTTCTTCCTACCCTTTTATTCTGAATCCCTTTTACAGTCTGAATGGGAATGGGAATGTCTCATACCTGGAATGCAAATAAGCTAGCTTCCTTCTCTCAGGCTTACAGCTCTTACAGATACAGACATAAAGTTCTTCGAGAATTTTGTACAATATGCACATTTTGGTCAGATCCATCCTCCCTCCCTCCAACTCTTCCCAGACCTACCCTCTTCCTTCCCTACCCACCAAACCTGTCTGTCCTTTTTTAGCCTTGAGGTTCTTTCACAAAGAGATCAAGAGAGAGAAAATGGAGGGGGGGAATGACCCGGTGGGTAAGAGCACTTGCTGTACATGCGTAGGACCTGCATTTAGATCCCAGCCATAAAAAAGCCAGGCCTGGCCACACACATACACCTGTCGCCCCACACTGGAAGCAGGTGGAAACAGGAGGATCATGGGGGACTCTGGCCATTGGCCCAGCAAAAGGAAAAACGGCAAGTTCCAGATTCAGTAAGAGACCTATCTCAAAGGAAATGAGGTAGAGAAGGACAGAGGAAGGGACCCAGTTTCCTCCTCTGACCTCTGCATACACATGGGCACACAGTCCTGCACACAGACACATGTGCGTACATGTGTACAACTCATGTGAAAGAAGGAGGAAAAGAGGAGAGAAAAAAGAAAGAAAGAAGAAAGGAAGGAAGAAGAAAAAGAAAAAATTAGATGGGGAGAAAGGCTCAGTGGGTAAGAGCTCTTGCTGTACACGCATAAGTTCTGAGTTCAAATCCTCAGCAATGTAAAAAGCCATGTGTGGCCCATATGGATCTACAACCCGGTGCTGGGTGTGCAAAGACAGGAGGATCTCTGCAGCTCACTGACTGCCAGAATATCTGGAAAATGGCAAGCTTCAGGTTCAGCGGGAGAGCCTGTCTCAAAGAATTAAGGTGGAGAGTGGTAGGACACCTGGGGTCATCCTCTGCTCTCTGCACATGTACATTAACACACGTGCATTATGTACACATGCACATGCATTATGTACACACACATGCATTATATACACACACATGCATTATGGACACACACACCACACACACACGCCTTATGTACACACACACACATGCCTTATGTACACACACACCACACACACACATGTATTATGTACACACACACCACACATACCACACACACACATGCCTTATGTACACACACACCACACACACACATGCCTTATGTACACACACACCACATACACACATGCCTTATGTACACACACACCACAAACACACACATGTATTATGTACATGTACATACTGCTTCCCTAGCTCAAAGTTGCCTGGGATTCAGTTCAGCTCTTCAGAACTCTGCCAGGACTGGGAATCCTCAACAGCCCGTTGCTTCTTCAGCCTGACTCTAATTTACTTCAGGTCAGAGTAGCCTGAGTGGGCCCCTCAGTGCTCAAACCTAACATCAACTTCCTGCCCTTGAGAACCCTGCTTACCTTTCCTCCCACGCACTCAGAGGCCATGTCAATCAGCTGGGTGAAGTCCAGAAATCTGGTCAGTTTTCCTTCCTTTGGAGTATCAGCCATGCTTCCTGGAAGTGAGAAAGGCAAGATCAGTCAGGACTGAGCTACATGAGTAAGGAGGCCTCTGAAACCATGCCTGGAGGTTGTCCATCCAAGGAGAGGCAGTGAAGGACTGAACTATTTGTCACCGTGGTGAGACCTCAGCAACCAAAACAGACAGGAAGTGAGAAATAAGCAAAAATATGCCACTGCTTAACACACAGATAGATCCCAATCACAGCCACACAGGGCCAGGTTGTGTCTTAATTACTGTCATGGTCATTGTTCTATTTCTGTGAAGAGACACTATGACCAACATAACTCTGGTAAAAGAAAATATTTAACTGGGGCTGGCTTACAGTTTCAAAGGTTTAGTCCACTATCATCATGATGGAGAGCATGGTAGCATGCAGACAGACATGGTGCTGGAGAAGTACCTGAGAGTTCTACATCTGGAGCCACAGGCAGCAGGAAGAGAAAGACACTGGGCCTGACTTGGGCTTTTGAAATCTCAAAACCCACCCCCAATAACACACTTCCTTCAACAAGGCCACACCTCCTAATCCTTCTCAGGTAGTGTCACTCCTTGGTGTGCCTATGGGGGGGCATTCTTATTCAAACCACCACAGTTACCTAAAAGGGAAACATTGATTTTAAAAAGAACAACTTGTAGGGCTGGAGAGATGGCTCAGAGGTTAAGAGTGCTGAGCACTCTTCCAGAGGACCCGGGTTTGATTCCCAGCACCCATAAGGCAGCTAATAACTGTCTATGATTCCAAGATCTGATACCCTCACACAGACATGCATGCAGGCAGGACACCAATGCACAGAAAATAAAAACAAATAAATTATTAAAAAAATAGTAATGTTTAAAAAAAAGACTTGCTTTTTATTGTCTTTGGGTGCATTCTAATAATAACCCTAGAGCAACCAGGCGGCAGGCACATCATGAGACATGCCTACTGTGGGAGCCCTCCAGAGTCAGGCAGATGCCGGCATAGTCAGACACCAGGCCACAGATATGATACGGGACTCATGTCATCAGGCAAACAAGGGGCAGAGAAATGGAAAAATGGAGAAATGGAGAGAGGGCCCAGAGGAGCCCAGGGTCTCCCTAGCCCTAAACTAAGTAGAAGTCTTTCTTCATGCTTCCACGTTCCTGCTCCTCATGAGAACAGAGAAAACCACACAAAAATTAACACATTAGTAACTTTGTACCACATGGCCACAATATAACACCTGACAGAAACAGTTTAAGATCTAGTTTGGCTCCAGGTTTCCCTCAAGGCAAGGCGCAGAGGCATGTGGCAGAGGTTTATGGCATGATGGCTCAAGATGCACAGAGCTGTGACAGGAAGTGGGGAGTAATCAATCCCCGAGGACCCTCCTCCAGTGTCCTACTTCCTCCAGCTGGGCTCCACACCCCAAAGTCTCCAGAACCCCACAAAGTAACACCACCGTTGGGGACCAAGTGATCAAAAAGCATGAGGCTATGGGGACATTTCACATTCAAAGTGCATCTAAGAGCTCGGCCTGAATCAGTCACAGAAGCGCATCCAAATGGATGAGGAGTCAACCTCTCCCTTAAAGTCACAAAAATATGATTACTATTGAGTAGCATTTTCTAGTGACAATACATATTTAAGAAACAGGCACTCCTAGAGTCTACACTGGGGAGCCAGAGAAAGTAAAGTCCTTGTGAGTAAAGTCCTTGCCATGTAAACATGAGGTCCTGAGTTCAATCCCTAGAGCCCAAATGTAAGATGAATAAATAAATTAAAGCTGGGCATGGTGGCACAAGCTTATCCCAGCACTGGAAAGGCAGGGAGAGATGGATCCCTGGGGCTCACCAACCAGCCAGCCCAGCAGAACCTGTGAGCTCCAGACCAATGAGAGATAGTGTCTCATCATATAATAACAATAATAATAATAATAATAATAATAATAATAATAATAATGTGGGTGGTGCATGAAGATTGATGCCCAAGGTTGACATGCACCCAAGCAATCAAGAGGCTGAGGCAAAAGGAGAGCTGCAATTATAGTCACCAGCTTGGGCGACATAATTAGTTCAGAGCCAACCTAGACTACAGCATGAGACCCCAAAGACAGACAACCACCCCCAAAAAAATATTGAGAAACCACCCAGAAACATCAGTGAACACTGCACAGTCCCTCACTCGGTGGCTAGTGCCCTCAGTAGACACACCCTTTCCAACCCTGGTCCCCAAGGCACAGGCAACACATAGGATCAACACAGAAATCAACACACCTTGTTATTCCAGCTGGATGGGCATACTTTCTGGATGCACGTCTGTGTGTATATATACTTGTGCATGTGGACATGTGTGCATGTGTCTGCATGGATGTGTGTGTGCGTGTGTATTTATGTGTATACCTGTGCATGTGTGCATGTGTGTGTGTGTGTGTGTGTGTGTGTGTGTGTGTGTGTGTGTGCTTGTGTGCATACACAGAGAGAAACATCTCAAAAAACCACCACAGAAATCCTCAAGGCTTTTGTGGGAATGTGTTTTAAATGGGCAGAAATAAATTAAACCTGGGAAGAAATTTCCTCTATCCTCTCCACAATTTGTCATCTGCTCACTCACCCCAGCCGAAAAGCTCTGCTCGAGATTGGGAGCTATAAAGAGCCCCTTACAGCCACTTCTGGGAAATACTTCAGCTCTCCATCATTCTCCTGGCAAAGCTCCCTTTACAGGGGAAATCCTGCTACTCAGGCATGTTTAAAGGTGTCACACGGAGAGAAAGCAGAGTAGACAGGGACCTGGGGCGGTTCTGTTAGGACAACACATGCCTGGTGCACACAAAGCCTGGGTTCAACCCCCAGTACCACGTAAACCAAGTGGAGACAGGAGGATCAGGAGTTAGAGCTATCCTCTGCTACATAGTGCCTTTAAGGCCAGCCTGGGCTACACAGGATCCTGTTGTTGTTTTTTGGCTCTTTTGGAGGGCCCACCACCCAGCTCCCAAATAAATCATATACGAAGGCTTATTCTTAATTATGAATGCCTTAGCTTGGCTTAGTTTCTAGCCAGCTTTTCTTAAATTATCCCATCTATCTTTTGTCCCTGGGCTTTTCCCATTCTCTTATTCTTAACTCTGAGGCTTGTTGTGTAGTGGGGTGGCTGGTCCCTGATGTCCTCCTCCTTCTCTGGCTCCTAGATCTTTGATCCCTTCTAGATTTTTCCCTCTATATATCTTCTCTGCCTTCCAGCCCCGCCTATCCTTTCTCCTGCCTCGCTATTGGCCAGTTCTTTATTAGACTATCAGGTATTTTAGACAGGCACAGTAACACAGGTTCGCAGAGTTAAACAAATGCAACATAAACAAAGTAACACACCTTAAAATAATATTCTACAGCAGGATCCTATGCCCAAAACATAGAAGAGGAAAAACAAACAGGCCCTTGTAAAAATTTGCCAGTGGTTCCCCTGTGGAGGTAAGTTTCAAAGAATGTTCAACTCCAGAAGTAACTCGCCAGACAGATCAGTGAGGACACAGGGGTAGGAAGGCCCGAGCTCATGGCTTCCTCTGTGATCACTCACACATCTTTCATTGCTCTTTAAGCCAAGATACCCTTTCAACGGAGGACTCTGGGGTTAGATATCCAGTGTGATGCCACGTGGCACAGTGGGAACCAGGCGACATGTGTGCATTTAAATTCAAATCCAGTGTCACTTAAAATTCTGCTTCTTCACTGTACTTATAACATAACACATGTTTAAGAGATACAGGTGGCTGGTAACTACTGTCCTGGATAACAAGGAAAGTTTCCACACCGTAGAGGTTTCTACCACACAACACAGGTATGTTCATCATTTCCATATATGTTATAGAAGAGCTTCCATTATCCTGATTTCCTTTTATTAATGACCTCAGCAAGTGTCAGGCTTTAGGAATGGGTTTTCAAAGGTCTTTAAAAACCTCTCCAACACAACACACCTTTGACCATGCCAAGCTCATAGGAAGGGACATTCCAGACATGAACAGAAAATGAACTTGAGTCTGAAGTAGGAGAGGTAAACATGGAGGACCTGTGCACCCACGACTATTTCTTGGGATACTTTTTAACTGTGAAAGAACTGTCAGATGTGCACTGTAGACTGGTCCTCCATTGGCCAGCAAAGGGAAGCTGGACTAGATGCAATCAGAAGTGATAGAATACTATAGGAATTCAGGCAAGAAATGCTTGGGGCTGGAGATACAGTTCAGTTGATAGAGTACTTGGCAGAGTACAGGCACATAGTCCTGGGTTCAGTCCCAGCACCTCACAAAGTAGGAATGGTGGTGCACACCTATAATCCCAGCACTTGAGACAAAAGTTCATGATTATCCTTGGCTTCATAGCAAGTATAAAGCCTGCCTGAGCTACATACGATCCTGGAAAGAGAGAGAGGGATATAGATAGGAAGGAAGGGGAGAGTGGATATTGACAAAGAATACCCTGCTCACAGGATTTAGGAGCTAAGTGGAGAGTAAGCAGTGAAGAGCAGGCATGTCCTTCAGCTGGTGCCTCTGCAGGGAGAGACCCCTGGGCAAGAGGAGAGGCACTCAGGGAGGTGAGATGCGTTGAACTTGTGTCCTACAGAGCTGGGCGCCAACAATCCTACTCTGAGAGGAATGGGTGAGCAGATCCAAAGAAACCAATGCAAACATGAGCCAAACCCAAGATCTGCCAGCTCTGGACTATTCAGAGGAGAGAGGAGATTCCCAGGATTCCACAGCCTGATCCCTGAGCTCTGGAAGTCCAGGCTAGAGGTAGCTGGCTGGTACTGCAGTAGAAGTGATTGCCACTAAAGAGAAGCAGATGCCCCCAGGTCTCCTATCCAGCCACACTAGGAGAGGCATTTCTACAGCTTCTGAAGTCAGATGGCAGTTTGAAGAAGGCTAAAATTTAATGGCACTCATATCAGAGTTTGCGGCCAGAAACTGAAGTCTTCCACTGTGGCAATTTCCCCAGATAATACTCACAAATAACAATCAGTGTGCCTGCCACACTTTGGTGTCA